AGCTATTTTTTTTTTTTTTTTTTTTTTTTTTTTTGTGGTTATGTTTGGTTGATGTGGTGTTTATGTTGCTTGAGATTGGTTGCTGAGTTGCCTCTGTATTGGTTTGCTTTGGTTTGCATGGTTTTTGCGTATGCTTCTGCGTACGTACATGGTTGAATACACATGCGAGACGAGACGACGCGAGACGAGCCGTGGGCGTGGGCGTGAATCTGGATCTAGATCTGGCTGGGGCTGGGCGTGTTTGAGAATCTGGATGCTGTCTCTAGTGTCTGTCTTTCTGTCTGTCTTTCTGTCTGTCTTTCTGTGTGTGAGAGGTAATTGGTTGATTTGATTGGGCTGGACACTTGGGTCTTGGGTCTTGGGGCTTGGGGCTTGGGTCTTGGGCTTGGGCTTGTCGCGGGGTTTAGTTAATTTATTGCGGGGGTTATTGGGGGAAGTGAGTTGGGCGAGGTTGCATTGCAGTGCGTTGCGTAGGTGCATGCATGCGTGCGTGCGTGTGTCTGGGGTCTGGGGTCTGGGGTCTAGCGTTTGGCGTCTGGGATGCGGGTGGTGCTTGGTGCTTAGTATTGATAGGTGGATGGCTGGTAAGGCAGGGAGGTAGAGACAGGCCTATTGCAGCGTTTGTCCAAGGTAATGTAATCCGTACCTATTTCCTTGATGATGATGATGATGATGATGATGATGATGTGTGGTGTGTATGGCTGAGGACGGAGTAAGTTAGCTTACTCAAGGGGCCTGGGTTGCCGTGGTTGGTTGGCAGTGAAATGAAGGCGGCGCATGTTTGTTTCGGTAGTGTAGTAGAATGCGGTTGGCGAACTTGGGGTTGGCTGTTGGCTGGGGTTGGTGGATGGTGGATGGGTAGGCGTGGGGCGCGGTGTCGTGCATATGTGCGTATGTGTTTGAGGTTAGGTTGTGTTTGAGGTTGCGTTTGAGGTTGAGCTGGGGTTGGGGTCAGGGTGGGGGTTAGGAGAGGGGAACCTGGACGCCCGCCCGCAGGGGCGGTGTTTGTGTTTGAGGTTTGGTGTTTGGGCGCGTACGGGGTACTCCGGACGGACAGTTACCTACACATACATACGATACACGACTCCAGGACCTGCAGTGACGCGGGGTAATCCGTACGGCGGCTTAGTTATAAAGTACTAAAGCTGCCCGTAAGCCTGTCTCTACCTCAGTCTCCGTAACAGTATCAGCGCATATACGGATTACTTACTTAGATCTACCTATCTATCTATCCATCCATCTACGCGCCACGCTACGAGCGGGGCGGCTAAGTAAGCAAGTAAGCGTGTCTGCCCGCACATGTGTTCTAGATTCTAGATCCGACTAGCGGATTCCGGACGCATAGTATGGACCGGCCACCTAGGTGCCAGGCAGGTAGATGCGTAAGCAGATGCTCTATGCCGGAGGGAGCTTGGCGCTTGCGGGGCTCGGGGGGCTCGGGGGGCTAGGTACTGTACTGCTGCTGCAGGAGCGGGAGCCAGGTGCTGGGTGCGTGCGGGGTAAGAACGAGGGGTAAAGACAAGAGACGATAGGACGTGTGTCGCATGCGTGTGAGTCTCTGCTCTTACCTAGGTAGCTAGCTGATATACCATTTATAGACACAACTACCACCAGGAGTATGTTAACTATCAAATAGACCAGACCAGACCAGCATATCCCCCCAAGCAAGCCCGTATGACACCTATTCTACCCTATCTTATCCTACTCCCTACCTAGTTATTTAGAAAATCACGCATCAAAGGACGAGAATAGATAACACTAATATACTCTTACTACTTTTCTTAGAAGAGGACATAGACAACGCAAACTCTTAATACTATACATTCAAACAGTTAATCAAAGCGAAGCGATAGCCCTTAATCCGTCTATAACACCCGCTGTACAGTAGGCACCGTGTGGCTGGCTACCTGACTGGCTGTCCTGTCTGTCCTGTCCTGCAAAACCTCTTTATCCCCTATCCTCCCTCTTTTTGACATTACATACATACATACATACTAATCATCACCTTACGAGCATATCTTTGCTTTAGTCACATAGTATGTAGATAGATGGTTACCACCACTGTTGATGTTGATGTGCATGGCTAGGAGTAGGAGCACGAAATCTCTGATAGCAGTAGCCTAGGTACGTTGCTATTTGTGAGTAGGAGAGCGAGAGTGTAAAGGACGCAAACAATCTGCCAGCCCGCCAGCCATATCAACCATTGAACCGGAACCATCGAGCCCACTACTCCCTTCCCCGCCCACCACCCACCAACGCAATCTGCCAACTACCATCCCACCGCACCGCACTCCACCACACTCCATCCACACCATCCACTCCACTCCTCATAAACTCTGACATTGACATTGACATTGACATTTGCAAATCCATTCTTCGTGTCATGTCAAGGGGGGGTATTGTATTAGTTAGGTTAGGTATATCGATATCGTTTGCTTTGCATCGCATTGCTGGTTTCCCAGAGCCGGCCGGCCTATCCAGCAGCTTAGACTAGACTAGACTAGTTCGCCTCGTCTCGTCTCGTCTTCCTCACTGGCACGACCCTTCCGAGCCACCAATCTGGCTGGCGTCGCAGCCGTCGGGGTAGAAGAAGGACGCGACACTGTACAATCCAATGTTAGCCATCATTGCCCGCATTCATCCAGCATCTCCTACGTCAGGGAAAGGGAAAACTTACGCTATAATCACGTACGCCGCTATCAGCAGCGAGCCTTCAAGGTAATTGCTGCGCCCATCAAGCACCAGGAAGTTGACCACAAACGCCGTCACGAACAGCGACACCGTCTCGAAGAGGTTGAAGTAGAGCGACATCTCCTTGCCCATGATCCACCCCAGAATGACGATAAACGGCGTCACGAATATGGCAATCTGGATACTGCTGCCCACGGCCACGCCAATCGCCAGATCCATCTTGTTCTTCGCCGCCACAGTAACGGCCGTAACGTGCTCCGCCGCGTTACCGACAATGGGCAGGATGATCAGACCGATGAACGCTTGACTGATGCCCGTAGTCTCGACCATGGGCTCAATGGCGTCCGACATGAAATCGGCGCAAACGGCCACCAGACCAGTCGTGATGAGAAGCATGACAATGGCAGAAGTGCGCGACATTTCGGGCGCTTCAAGCTCTTCTGCCGGTTCGGTTTGAGCATTGACCTGCTGGCTGCTAGGAGCCACGGGAGCAGTTGAAGTGACCGCAGAAGACGGTCGGTTAAGTCTGTCCGGCAGAGAAGCAGTACGGCGCAGGCTGCCACCAGCACTACCCTTCGCCAGGGCAGGGTTGGGCGAGCCAGATGATGGCGGATTCGAAAAGACGTTGTTGGCAAGAAGCGAAGGCATGGGTATGTTCGGGCGGGTCGAGAACTGGCGGAGGTTGAAGGGGCGCTTCGAGTTCGGCGAGACGGGCGGCTCAACCATCGAAGAGACAGGGTCTTCGGCGAAACCAACCCGAGGACGGTTGTCAACTGGGTTTCCAGACGCAGATGGGATTTTCTGGAGTGAAGACTTCTCGTTGAACTCGGGTTCGTTGTTTGCGTGTTTGGAGTGCTTTCTCTTGTGGTGCTTCTTTTTCCGCTTCTCATGCGGGGGCGAACTGGACGATCCGGTCTCGAAATCGCGGACCCGAGGTTGAGCGTCAGGCCTGGCGGCCTCGTCGTCGGCATCGGCCTCATCTCCGCTGAAGATCGGGCCCAGGACAGAGCCGCGGCGAGAAGACTTGTCGTTCTGGGCGTGGGCTTGATTTTCGAAGTAGACCCTGCGGTGTTCGCCGTCGGGAGAGCTCACGACCGACGGAATGGACGGCGTGTCCTTGGAGCTAACGCTGGACTTTCTGCGCCTGCGATTCCGGAAGGCACGCTTGATCCTCTTTGCGGTCGTGTTGGAGCCAGAGGAGCCGTCGGAATCCGTGCTGCTGGAGTCACTGGACGACTCGGAGGAACTGGAGTTGAGAATGTCTGCCAGGACACCAGGGTGAGACTCCTCATCAATGATGTGCTGGGGCGTGCTTTCGTAGAGGTACGCGTGAGACTTCAGCTGGAAAAGCAGGTACAAGACGTATACCAGGAGCAGCACCTGCAAAGTGAATTAGTAGGCAAATAGGACGATGCTTGAAATTGTACGTACCACGCTGGTACCACGGCTGACTTTGAGGGTCTCGTCGTCGGCATTGTCGTAGCTAGAGAATGAAGCGTGGAAGGCCGTCGGCAAGAGAAGACTCATGACAGCCAAACTGACCAAACAAGCGCTCATCTGAGTGACCGTGCTGTTGTAAACCTGGGGGATTGTCAGTTTCAGCCGAAATTAACTGCGGGGAAAAATGCAAACTTGCCTGTTCCTGGAAACGCAGGCCACCAAAGAGGAAGGCCATGCCCAGAATGAGAAGCAGGTTTGCAAGAATCGATCCCAAAAGTGAGGCCTGGACGACGCGGATCTCGTCCTTGGCAAGCAGGATGATGAACAGAATCAACTCGACTGCATTGCCGAACGAGACGTTGAGCAAAGCTCCAAGCGTGTCACCGAGACTAGAGGCCACGCTCTCGGTGGCGTGGCTCAAAAGGCCAGCGAGCGGAATGATGGCAACTGCGTTCATGGCGAAGATGATCTCCGAGGACAAGCCGGCCGGTTTTGAAGCAATGCCGATAGGGACGAAGACTAGCAGCAGGTTGAACCAGCTGTAGCACAAGGCATCCTTGAAATGTATGAAGAAGCGGATGGTACCATCCTTGGCGCGAGTAGTCATAGGACGTTTCTCCTGCGGATTCAGGGAGGCAGGCGCCGCTCCATCAGCTGTGGTATTATCGGGAGGCGGAGCTGGCGGGGGCGGATTTGAGGAAGTGGTGTCGGCGACATTGTTTCTGACGGTGGCGCCGCTGGAGCTGCCGTGTCTGCTGGAGCGCGGAGGCTGACTGGTGATTGTGGAAAGAGCCGACGGGTCGGAGCTGCCATTGCTGGGTTGGTGGCTCAAGGGTAGGATGGAGCGCTGAGCGTCGGCGGGCAGGCGGTTTGAGGCATGCGCTTTTGCCCAAGAGTTGATACGGTCTAGAAAACTATCAGAGGGATCTCCCATCGATGGTGGTTCGCAGCAAGTGCGAGGGTGTGGATGCAGGAAGGGAACGAGGGTTGGCGGCAGCCTAATAAGCACGGCTGGATAAGACAGACAGGAGCGATAGGGAAGCTGCGCAAAATGTGGGCCGCCAGGGACCCGTCGGAGGGAGCAGCGTGCTCCACGTCGGCGATGATGCACTTACGCATAGCAGAGGGCTGGCCAATGGCGTACGTTGATCAGGGCCAGGCTAGTGCTGGGGCTGTCGATATTGTGAGCGTCACGCCCCAAGCACCCACGGTTCGAGAAAGCGGCGGCGGCGGGAAAGAGGTGCGGAGGAGGCACAGTCGTAGGGGAGGGCGGGCAACGGGCAAGTAATACAGACGCTTCAAAGCCACGCGGCGTCATAGGTTTGTCGGTCTGGCGCACACAAACGCCTGTTGTGCCTCCGGCCGGGGGCGAGCTGCTCTGCGGACCTAGCCACAGATGCCAAGCCCTGCCTAGCAAGGGAAATACCCACTTTGCCAACAGGGCCTGGACAGGCCAGGGCAGGCAATCGGATCTCGTCCTTTCCGCCCACCGTCTTTGCACCGCCTCTTACTTGCACCGCCACGTCGCCACTTCCAAGAAACCCGCGACAAGATGCCAAGATGGATGCCATCACCACACACAGGGAGAAAGAAAGTCTACCAAACAGGTATCCACCGAGAGCACCACGTACACGCACGGCAAACACGGCACGCTCTCATAACGACCTTGGTCCACCGCTCCGCATCTTGATTCCTCCTCCGCGACAGCCCCGTGCTTGTCCCTCCACACTTCGACCCGCCCCGTTCTAGATTGGCCACGCGCCAACTGCTGCGCGGCACCCCGAAAGCTTGGTCCTCAACGGCCTGCAGCCACACATGGCCTTGCTTTTTCCCCACCAGCGGCACTCGTCGACGACTGTCGACTGTCCCGTCCGATCTGCACACGAGTACGACTGCATCCCTTATCCTCGGCCAGAGGTAACTAATAACTCGATCAACAACGCCTCACTCGAGGCACCGACCGCCCTGCGATCATCGATGTGCCGAGTCCTCCCGAGCCCGCCAGAAAGTTTCTGGAAGCTCTGTGGTCCCATTGGCGCCCGATCATCCTCTCGGCGTTGGCCTTGGGCAGGACTTTTTGTTGACCGTCGTCGTTGCCAGGGGCGCCGGCGGCCCCATGTCCCGAGCTACGAGTACCGGAGACACGCCAGAGTCGCGACCGGATGCACACATCCTGTAACTACCATTATTCGCAAAACACCCAACACTCCACACCCTTTTGCGGCGAGCAGAGACCGCCAAATGATCCTGGCCACGCCTTTGGACTGTACTGATATTGCTCACATGCTTGTTTCCAATTCAAGACTTCAGAGCTGACGAGTTGCCCTGGTGCACAATCGATAAGCCCTGACTGTCACCCGTCCATGGTCCCGATATCATCAAGCTGCATGCCGTCTACAACGGTAAAACGCAGCTCCTTAACCTGGTGCAGGAGTTACTGTACTAAGCACACTAACTACGGTGGTACTAATAATATCAGCTTGGACAGTTCACAACTTACAAAGAAAGATTTTAAAGACTTCAAAGTCTATTGATTTCTATTGATTTCTAGTCAAGTTTAAAAGAAAGAAAGAAAGCAGCAGCAAAGCAAATGCAGCGCGCGAGCAGAGCACCGATGGGGATCAGAGCAAACCACCATAGACATTCACCTCTTGGATGATTCGAAAACCAACCAACATTGCGACAAGATCGCGAACAGCGGTGTTGGAAAGGCGAAAATCGATCTGGGTCGATGCTTCGAGATGAGCATGAAGATCTTCAGTTGTGTACATCTCCAGATCGTGAGCAAGCACCCAGTTGCCGATTCTGTCCAAAGCAGTTCCGAAGTGTGCTAAGTCTTCGTCAGCATAGTTCCAGCCTTCACGATCGTTGACAAACCATTCGCCTAGGGACCGTATGTTGGTGCTCATCGGGAGCCATCGCACAGTCACCCATGGGCGCTGTCGTTCCTCTACAGCCCGCTGGTCTGCCATTCCGCGCAGCTGAGCTCGGGTTGCATCCAGCTCCAATCGTCTCTTAACCAGGCCGTTTAGATGGTGACCCATGATGTGCAAAAGTTCTTGGATAACCATGGTGAGTTCCTCTTTTGTACTCAGAAGGCCTTATGGCAGACTTTGTCGCCTCTGGACAAGACCCAAGCGCATCTCCTGCATCGAGCCACGAAAGTCGATGTCGACCAATTGCGAATACTCGTCAAGCCGCGCATCATCGTCGAACCACTCACAAATCCCTTCAACAGCGACCGACACGGCTTCAAGTGTCTTTACTGTGTCGTCTCCTTCAACCGAAGCATCAAGCTCACGCAGCGTGGTGGTCAGAGGGCCTTGAAGTTGGGCCCGTTGCTCCATGAGTTGGGGGATGATGCGTACGAGACGGATTTCTTGCACTTGCCATCGTCTCATGTCTCGTCGCATGTTACGTTCTTGTCCCTCCAAGCGCGCTCTAGCATCCTGCACGACGAGCCAGAGGTCGCTCATCTCATCGCGGGACAGCTCCTCAGCCCGCGGACCGAGATCGTAGGCGCGGTCGTCGCGCTGGCCCACAACTGGTCGCGGGTTGTTATTATGCAGGCGCGCGGGGTTGGCGTACGCATCGTAGGAGACGCGATTGAGACGTACCTCCTCGGGTTCACCATCGTCAGCGCCTTCCTCGGCCCACTCCTCCTCCTCATCCCCCTCGAAGAGCACAGACCGGCAGGTCGGACACTTGTTGCCGGTGGCGATGTCTTCGTTGGCCCAGAGCGTGATGCACTCAAGCCCGAAAATGTGACCGCAGGCGTTGAGGCGGACGGGTGTCTCACCGTTGTCGTCGCCGTGGCCGTCGTACTCGTTGAGGCAGATGCTGCATTTACGGTCCTCCTCTGGGACCTCATCAACAGTCAAACTGTCGAAACCTGAGGCAAGGAACTCGTCCTTGGTGGGGAGCTCGTCTGCCATGCTTGTGAGTGAGGTGTGTGCTACTTTCGTGAGTACACTGCAGTGTTTGAGCGTTTGGGTATATGTAACTCTCTAACTCCATCGTCGTAGATATATACAGTTCGTGTATACATTGTATAATTTGTATTTGAGCGTTGCTGCTGCCATTAAATAGTGAGGTGAGCGGATGGGGCTATATACGCATTGTCAGAGCACAATGTCTTGCTTGCGTTGACTGTTCCACGTGGTAAGTATTTGTGGCTGACGCGGTGGCTTGTTTGCTCTGCTTGCGTAACAAAGAGCGCTGTTTGTGCAGGTGTGTGAAGGCACACTGTATATGAAAGGAAGTTGAAACTACTTGGCTAATGTGCTGTTAGTATCTGGTTACTGTGTATCGTTATCTACGAGCTGATGCAACGCCGGTTTCGCTACTTAGTTTCACTCGACTCTCGAGGCTTTGTCATCACGAGAGAGGGTCGTTCACAATTTACAAAAGAAGAAAAACTCCATATGATGTTCAGATTATTAATTCAGTCAATTTCATCTACAAAAAAGCAATAAGAGCAAAGGAAATGCAGAACACGATCAGAACGGCATCAAGTCAAAGCAACCCACCAAAGAGCTCTATCTCACGAGAGGTCCGGAACCCGATCACCATCATAACTAGGTCGCGAACAGCCTCTCGTACATCAGGGCTATAAGAGTCAAGCTGACTCACCGTCTCAAGACGGGCACAGAGATCGTCAACTCTGTACATCTCACCGTCATGCTCAAGCACCCAAGCGGCAATATTGCCAAAGGCGGTACCTAGATCGCGAGCGTCGTCGTCAGCATGGTTCCAGGCGTCTGCGTGGTCATTGACAAACCATTCGCGCATCGACTGCAGGTTTATGGCCGTGGGGAGCACGCGCACTGTCAGCCAGGGGTTTGCGCGCTGTGGCAGCTCCCTTCGCGCCCGCTCTAGGTCTTGCTGCCGCTGCAGCAGGCCCCGCGGGTGGTGCATTATCGCGTGCTCGAGCTCGCGGACGGCAGTGAGGAACTGCTCTCTCGTGCCCGGCAGGTCACGCGGCAGATTGTCTCGCCGCTGCACAGTATCGAGGCGCATGGCCTCCAACTCACGATAGAACTCCGGCGGCATCAGCGGCACGCTGTCAAGCCCCTGGTGCGGAAAAACAGCAAGCAAAAGCCTACAGAACCCACTAACGGCAGTAGCGACGGTTCTGAGCGAGCCCTCTGCATCCGCGTCAGCAGTGTCCAGGTTCTGCAGAAAGCCCGCCAAGTCCACCATAGCGCTTCGCGCCCCCGTAAGCCCTCTCGTAGCCGTCGCGAACTCGGCCTCGAGCTCGCGCATCGCCCTATCCTCCGCCTCATGGCGGACCCGAGCAATGAGCCCCAGCGTCCACATGTAAAACGCATGAGCCGAGGACAGCGTCTCCCCCGCGTCATTGACGGCGTAGAAGCGCTCGTCGCGCTGGCCTGCAACGCGCTGCGCAGAGTTGACCGCGTCGATGCGCGGTGGGTGGCTGAACAGGTGGTATGCCAGCTCCTCGTCGTCCGGCACCTCCTCGGCTTCGAAAAGAACGGCCCGGCATATAGGACAGCTGTTTCCGCCCTCGCTGGCCCAGCCTTCGATGCATTCGCGCCCGAAGATGTGGTTGCAGACTTGCAGCTGGATGGGCGGCTCGCTGCTGCCGCCGCTGCCGTAGACGTTCAGGCAGATGCTGCATTTGCGGTCGTCTGGTGGGACGGCGCTGGGGGTTAGGACGGTGAAGCCGGTGGCGAGGAACTGGTCCTTGGTTGGGAGATTAGTCGTCATGGTTGCGAGGTTGTTCTCGAGTACGCGGCTGTGAGTGAGTGGTTGCTGCAAATGACTGTTTATGTGCGGAGGCGTGGATATATAAACAGTGTAGCAGCATGCATTGTTCGTGATGGATGCTGTGTATCGTTTGTATATATGCGGCGTTGTCGCTAAACAGGCAGTATAGTAAAGACAGAGTGTCTGGGCTGTCTGGGTGCTGCTGTTGCTGTACACATTGCTAGAGCACAATGTCTTGTTTGCGTGTGAAGTGCAATGTGTTATTTACGTGTGAAGCACGGCAAGCGCTTGTGGCTTACAGGGCTTGTTCTTGCTTGCTTTTTTGTTTGCTAGGTACCTACCTACCTATCTTTCTTCGTTGTTGGGGAAGGGAATAAAGTGATGCTGCTGTGTAGGCTGGTGAGTGCGGAAGTAAGCGAATGAGTAAGTGAGATATAGACGCAGCATGAAAGAGAACCGAAACTAGCCAGGATGGCAGCGTTACCTATTCTCTGGCGATTGCACAAGCATGCTGTTGCCTAGTCTCTCAAATATAGGGAACAAGTAGCTCTTTCGTGCCTTTTCCGCGTGAAGCTTACAGAAGAACATCTATCTACATACATACGTGCGTACAGTTAACCAGACAAGAACGCCAGAGATGTCTATACCTACAACGCCAACGAGGTCGGGCCCAGCCCAGCTCAGCCCAGTCAACAATTAAACGCCAAATTCCAAAACCCGATTGACATCGCCCGTACTTACGCCACGCGCCCAACCCCCTCCACCTCCTCGGCCGCACACAGCTCCACCGGCCTCGCACCGAGCTCGGCAAGCTCACACACCTCGCGCGCCTCCATCTCCGCGTCCACAACCCCCCCACCACGAGCACCGCTCTTCTCACCCCCCAACCCCACCCCAGCACCAACAACACCCACACCCGCCGCCCCCTCCAGCAGCCCCCTCCCGCCCCAGCCCCCCGCCTCCGCCCCCGCCTCCAGCGCGCGCCGCCTGGCCCTCTCGCGCCGCCCCCACTGCCCCAGCACTGCCGCAAGCAGCAGCGCAGGCACGCCCACGCCCACGCCCACGCCCACACCCACTTTCACACCCGTGCCTGTATTTGCATCCCCGCCTGCGCTATATTCTTCAGTAGTGTTAGCTACAGTGCCAGCAATACCCACAAACGCCCCATGCGGGTAGTCGTAGTACCGCCCGCGGCCCGGCGCGCACACGTTCGCGCTCGTGTTGCCGCACCAGTAGTGCACGGCTGTGGCACCGGGGCCGGCGGTCGTGCCGTTGGCGTCTTTGGGGCAGGGGTAGAGGGGCGCGGGGCCTTGGGGGTGGACTGTCGGTCGTTAGTACCTGGGTTGGGGTTGGGATGGGACGGGGAGTGGGAGATGGATGATGGGAGGGGGAGGTGTGCACGACACACGCACTCTTCGGGCACGCGCTGAAGCACGTCGTGTACGGCCAAGCGGGGTCGGTACATGCGCCGCGATAGAGCTGGGTAGAAGCGTCAGCTTGGCGTCTTGATGGAAGTGTGTCCCCTCCCCTCCCCTCGAACACCCAAACACAAAAAGAAAGACAGAGATGCAACCAACTCACCATCCCGTCCTCCGTCCCCGAACACAAGCCATTAGAAACGCACGCGTCGCCCCTTACGCAGCAATGGCTTGCGGCCCCGCTCCCGCTTGCGCCGCTTGCGGCGTTATCAGCACAAGGCACGTACGCGGCGTCAGTCGTGTTGCCGTTCGGCCAGAAGCATGGCGATGTCGTCGCTGCGTGTGTTGTTGTTGTTGTTGTTGTTGTTGTTGTTGTTGTTATTGTCGCGAGCAGGAGGTGCGTGCGCAGGAGGTGTAGATGTAGGTGTAGATGCATTAGGCGCATGGTGTGCTGTGGGGTTGGGTGGAGTGGTTTGGGTTTGGGCACACGTGCTGCGCTGAGGGGGTGCTTATATGCGTGCGTGTTTGTGTGTGTGTGTGTGTGTGCTTGTGCGCGGGGGCACAGAGGAGGGCCATCCTGCTGGCTGCTTGTGGTGCCGTGGTGCGGTGGTGAGCGAGTGAGCGAGCGTGAGAGCGTAGGCGTGTGCGAACCAGTGAACCAGTGAGTAAGAGAAAGAGACCCTGTGTGAGAGTGTGAGTAAGAAAGCGTGGCTTACCCACTCCACTCCACTCCACAGCCGCTCATAAGGGGGCTGAGTGAGCCCTACCTACCTACCCACCTACCTATGGACGCTCCTCGCTATAGGTACCTACAGGTTAGGTAGGGCAGAGCAGAGCAGAGTACCTATGGTACCATCATCCACGGTACAGGTCGCCTCCCGCCCCCACCACCACCGCCGTCAGCGCTACTGTAGGCACTGTCCCACGCGCAAGAATAGCAGCGCCAGTGCCAGTGCCGTCGCAGTAGTACAGAACTCCACACGACGATTTTCCTGTTCGGGCAATCCCGCGTGCCGGCTCGGTGGTTCCGGTGCGTGCGTGCGTTGATCTCGCTGTGCTGTGATGTGCTGTGCGGTGCTGTGCTGCTTAGGTAGGTATGTATGTAGGTACCTATGTAGGTACCTAGGTACGGAGTAGGGTCCTGGGTCTGCGAGGTCACTGCCACGAGTGTTTCGCTGCGAAGAAAGAGAGGGAGGGAGGTCGTGGATCCCAGGCGTAGGTTTGGGTGCGTTATGGCTTTCTTCCCTGCCTGCCTATGTACCTACCTATGTACGAAGTCCTGAGCCCGTCCCTGCCCTGCCCAACCTATCAATCCCGCAACGCCAGAAACTCCGTGCAATCGCGTCACAACACTGCCATGCGTGCGTGCTCCATACGAGGCGACATCGCCAGGAGCACCACCACCACTACCAGCGCACTAGTTCCTCAGCGCGCGCAGCCGCTCATTCAAGCCCTCCTCCTCCTGCTCCGTCGGCCCGACCTTGGTCTTCGCAGGCGTCGCGCCCGCCAGCTCCTGCGTCAGCTCCACGCCGGCCTTGTCCGCCGCCTGCGCCATCAGGCGGTCGACGTCCTCCTGCGGCGTGCCGACGGCCGTGGCCGACGACGTCGCGTTCTCGTAGTAGCCGGTCGCGACGTCCAGGTCTTCGAATTGCGTCTCGAATTTGTCCATTACGGCGGAGATCTTGGCGCGGGGTGGGTTTTGTGTTAGCTTTGGGGATGTGTGGGTGGATGGGGAGGAAGTGAAGGAGGTGGTTTGTAGGACCTGTAGGACTTGTAGGACTTCTTCTTCTCTGCTGTGCTTCCCGTACCTTCTCGAGATCCATGGCCTTCATCGCTGAATCCATGCCCTTGACCACGTTGGCCATGCTGCCCGTGACCTGCCGCATCGTCACGGCCGTCTGCACCCTGCTGCTAACGGCATCGATGCGCGACGCCAGCCGCAGCAGGTTCAGCTTCTCGTTCTGCTTGCGGATCGCGTTGCCCGCGTAGATGCGCGCAATGTCGTTGTGCCCTTGCTTCATCGCCTGTTCCGTGCGCAACCCACCACCCGCGTGTCAGCCATGTCTTTCCCTCTCTCTCTCTCTCTCTCTCTCTCTGTCTCCTTCTCTGTGTGTCGCGCACGCACCTTCTCCAGCTTCGTCTTCTCCGTCTGCTCATCTTTGCCCGCCTTTGCGGCTTGGCGGTTCAGCTGCTTCGCCGTGAACTGCTCGGGCGGTTAGCGCGGGGGCCCAAGGCTGCCGTCGGAGAAGGAGGAGGAGCGGGGTGGCGTGCCTTGAGGTTGAAAAGGGCTTTCTCGAGTCCGGACATGGTGTGTGGGCGTGCTGGCTTCGTTCTCTGGGGCTTATCGTGGGTATCGTGGGGGTTTTGTTCGTGGGGCTCGTATCGTAGGTATGCGGTTGCAGCGCACCAGGGTCTGGCTTGGGTTCCATGGAAAGGCCGCAGCTTCGCCTCGCGAGAACGTCATCACCCCGTGGGCGCATGCGCGCATCCATGTCTCATGTCTCAATTTCACCCGTCAGGCACCAAAAATGCCTCGCTTTCACTCAGGAGAATAACATCGTCTTAGATTTTCGAGCCTAATGCCCTTCACGCTTCTTACGCGCGCCCACGTCTGCAGAAGCTCCCTTGAATGCCAGAATCCACAAAACATTATGCACCGAAGCGCCATACGCCGTCCATATCCGCCGCCGTATACGCCTGCCCGATCGTCCTCCCATAACCTCCCGCGGCCGCCCAAATGCACTCGCCCCCCTCACATGGACTCCTGAGGACCAGAGTTGAACTTGTCGGTCGCGGATCTGAAGAGTTCCTGCTGCTGCCGTATCAGCTCTTCCTCCGAGAGCCCGCTCTGCTCAATCTTGCTCTGCTTCTTCTCGCGATTCTATCGATGCCCGTTAGCAGCCTGTTCCACTTTACTTTCCGGGCGCGTCCGGGGTTGCGTACCGCCTGCTGCTTTCGCTGGTCCGCAGCGACTTGCATAATGTCGTTGACGTAGTTGCCGAAGCCAAAGTCCTCCAGCGCGGCCTTGACGTGCTCGCACGCTATGGTCTTCTTCGCTTCCTTCTCCGCAATGTCGTTGGCCTCGGAGGAGATCATGGTGATGAATTCGACGCAGCACTCGATCAAGAGGTCGCGCGTCTCCTTGGCGAAGCTCATGCCGGGGTCATTCTGGAGGATCTCGTTGATGATTTTCTGGACGGTCGCTACAGCTTGTCAGCGCGAGTCGGCAACGAGCTGCGGCTTGCGGCGGAGCAGGCGCGGAGCGCGCACGAGGCCGGGGCGGGGGCGGGGGCGAGGGAGGAGGCGGTACCTTTGGGCAGCGAGAGGTCATCGTTGCCTGCTTCTTTGTTAGCTTGGGGGAGCTCTGCGGCGGGGAGGCTGGTGCGACTGACCTCCAAACTCGCGATCCGACATGGTTGGTGGGGTTGTGCGCAATTTCAGGGTGGTTTGAAAGGTGGGGGGAGGCGCAAGGTGTATAGTCCGCAATCAGCTCTGCGCCCGCATGCCATGGTCGCGTCTGGCGTACGTGCCTTATATGAATGTCGGCGCTGTTTTCCTGCCGAACTTGGATACGGGCACGGACCTCCCGACATTCAGCCGCTGGAGCCCGGAGGAACCTCGTCCCGCCAGCTCCAGCTTTTAGAACAATTTTCTTCGCCAAAGCTTCGAGAGCATCTTTCTTCTCCCACCACCACAGCAATTCTCGCAGCAGAGATTTTGCTCTCCCTTCTTCGCCATGTAGTCGTGCTTTCGGTCAGTACTCCCCTCTCTCCCTTCCATTCCCTCCTCTTCCAAGATGAACATTCGTGTCGCCCCTATCAGACCAGATTATGGTGATTTTCCTGTCCTAGCCAAACGGACTATCTGAGAAGATTCAACTTTGTCGCTTTGAAAAACTCGAAATCTCGGAGAGCCGCAAGCTGACATGTTGAATAGACTTGGCATTAGCCATCGAAGCAAACAATGAGCGCCATGACCGAGCCCAGCTGGGCATGGCCGCTGTAGGAACAAACGCCTTTATGCACGCGATCTGCGTTGCCTCCAGCTTTTCCGCATATGCGGCGTGAAAACGCTGGCCCCAACGGACAGGCATCCAGACCGGGCCGTGCCAGGGTGCGCCGGGGTGGAGCGTCGGGGATGTTTCAGCCTCTTGTATGGCCTTTACATACCCAGCCTTCCGGGCTTGGATCCCGAAGCATACCTCGACATTGGGATGTAGAACGCTCCCGTGCTGCGCGCTAGCATCACGCTGGAGCCGTGTGATTGAACAGGTCATTACCCCGCTTGATCGTACGATCATGGCGTTGATGAGCCGGCTTTTATCGATCCTAGCTGCAACTGCACCCACGGACTTGCGAGCTTGCAGTAGGTTCCCCGGTCCTCCCCACAAGCCACTAGTGTGTGGCACCCCCGCATCATATGATGTTCGAAATTATAAAGTACTATCAAATTCGGATACACTTTGACGACTAAACCCTTGACTGATGGCCTGACCTCCGGAGCTTGCACCTTGTTTTTTTCACGGTCGGCAATGGACACAACTGACCCGAATGTATTAGGCAGGCACGTGGATTGTTACGCATAAACTTCTATAAAAGGTAAGCCGTTCCTTTTTCTTTTCTCCCCTGCGCGATGATGACAAAAGATCACATTCCATGCTAAGACTGAGGGTCTAACCGCCCAATGTTGTTTATTGTGTCGAGCTTTTCATCTTTCAACTGAGACAAATTTCTACATTGATTTCCATCTTGAACGCGTTAAAGAGACCAGTCGAGCTAACGCCTTCGAAGATCTACTAGGTACATGTGACATGCAGGCGTTTAGGCGTCTTGGAAGCTCGCCAGGTCCTTGTCGTTCCAGCTGTGTGGATAGCGTTAGCGCATTGAGCCATGCACCCACGTATATAGACATACCTCAAGAATTTACCGCTTAACTCCTTGGGCGCATCCAGAACCAAACGTGCCATGACATTGCCAGGCTGTTCGGGCTTCAACAGACCGCCATTCTGCTTCAAGCCGACGAATTTCTCGGCGTCAGACTTGCTCATGTGCTCGAGGTGCACACCGCGAATGTTGTCCTGCATGGACGTGTCGACAACACCGGGCCGGATGGAGAGGGTGGTTATGTCGGGCTCCTCGACAGCGAGGGTTTGCGCAAAGTGGTTCAAGGCGGCCTTGGTCGCGCCATAGGCGCCCCAGCCCGTGTAGGACGTGACGGCGGCTCCTGACGAGACGAGGACGACGTTGCCCTTGGAGGCGCGCAAGGCGGGCAGCGCGGCTTGCACCTGGACTATGGGTCAGGGTGACGCGACGCGCAAGAGAGCGGCGTGTAACCTTACCAGGGCGACGGCGGAGAAAAGGTTGATGTCAAAGGCCTTCCTCCAATCGTCGGCATTGGCGTCACGGACCTGCTTGACGGGCTCGAGGACACCATGGTTTATGAGCAGGCCGTCGACGCGGCCCCAGGTGTCGATGGCCAGAGCGGTTGCGCGGGCGCCAATGGAGAAGTCGGAGAGGTCTCCTGACAGGACCTGCACCTGGTCGGGGTAGTCTGCGCGCAGGCGGTCGAGGGGCTCCTTGCTTCGGGCCACGACGACCAGCCTGCATTGCTTTTGCAGCAGGAACTGGGCCATGGAGAGGCCGATGCCTGGGAGCCGTGTGTGGCGCGTTAGCACAAGGGCAGAGACGGGAGCGGCCGCCGTGTCTCCGGCTTACCCCGCGAGGCGCCCGTCAGGACTATGACTTTTCCCGGAGCGGCCATGGTTCGATGTTGGAAGGGAAGGGCGACAGGTGACGGGAAAGAAAATGGAGGCACCGAGGCGGAAAAAAGCCAATGGCGCGTCGCCTTTACATGCAGTTTGATCGCCGGCCGCTCGGCGCACAACGGGGCCATCCGCAACGTCATTGGCAAATGTGGGGTGCCTGCCGCCGCCCTAGGAAGACTCTCGGGACGCGATCGTATGATGTTCTTTTTCCCGAATACACGGAGAGGACGCCCGTACATAAACCTGGCGCACCCGCCTACCATCGTGTCCCTCCCTCATTTCCCCGAAGAAGACTGCCACGCACCTATATACCATGGACCCAAAGTCTCAGACTGTCATTCTGGGCGCCGGAATCATAGGCCTGTCGACCGCCTACTACCTCTCCGAGTCGCAGCAAAACATCCACATTATCGAGCCCTCGCACGAGCTCTTCGCCTCGGCCTCGGGGCTCGCTGGCGGCTTCATCGCCGCAGACTGTATGCCACGGCGGCCCGCCGCTCCTCGAATGCGCACGCGACTGACCGCCAGCTAGGGTTTGCGCCGTCTGTCGCGCCGCTCGGAGGCCTCTCGTTCCGCCTCCACAAGGAACTCGCAGAGCAGCACCAGGGCAAGGAGCGATGGGGATACAGCTTGAGCACGGGCACCTCCCTTAGCCAGGACGTGGCCAACGAAGAAGAGGCGGTCCTCGGCAGCGGCGAGGACTGGCTGCAGAACGGCACAAGTCGCGCCGAGGCCGCTGGAGGCCACTCGTTCTCCGAGGGCGAAGGGCCTGCCTGGCTGATGCGCAGCAACGGCAGCAGCTTGGAGGTCATCAGCCGCGACGCCAGCACGGCGCAAATGTGAGCTCACACCTCCTCCCCCGTTTCCGCGACCCGGAGGAGAATCGCTAGGTTTGCTGATGCCCGAGACAGAGATCCGAGGCGCCTGTGCCAATTCCTTCTGGAACAGTGCACGGCGCGAGGCGTGCAGCTACATCGGCCCGCCAGGGCTACGTCAGTGTCGAAGGATGCGACGGGCGTGCTCAATGGCGTGCACGTTGTCTCTGCAGACGGCTCGGAACGCGACCTGCCATGCACGCGACTGGTCCTGACAGCCGGCGCATGGACACCCAAGGTCGTGTCGACCCTCTTCCCGCGCGCGCCCCTACGAGTCCCCATTTCGGCCCTCGCCGGGCATTCGCTATTGCTCAAGTCTCCGCGCTGGAGCGCCGAGCACGAAGAGAAGGGCTGCCACGCCGTCTTCGCCACGGATACCCTCGGCTTCTCGCCCGAGCTGTTCAGCAGAATCGGCGGCGAAATCTACATCGCTGGGCTCAACAGCACAATGATACCGCTGCCGGACGTCCCGTCGGATTGCAAGGCCAGGGACGACGCGATGCAGCAGCTCAAGGATGTCGCAAAGACGATGCTGGGCCTGCCCGGCCAGGAAGACGACCTGCAGGTGCTCAGGGAAGGACTGGTAAGTGAGCCCCGGGGGAGCCAATGGCAGCAAACAGCAGCTGATCAAAGCAGTGTTTCCGCCCCGTCACCTCCAGCGGCCGGCCCATCATCTCGCGCATCCCGGACGCAAAACTCGACATGGCCACGCGCAGCGGAGGAGAAGGCGGCGTGTTCATGGCCGCCGGCCACGGCGCGTGGGGTAAGTTTTGGCGATTCGACTGCATAGACATAGAATAAATACTGACGAGGGCGCAACAGGCATCTCGCAGTCCCTCGGAACCGGCAAGGTCATGGCCGAGCTCATCTGCGGCCAGCCGACGTCGGTCAACATCAAGGCGTTGGCTCTGCCGGCATAAAAGGCTCGCTCGACTTTCGTTGACTACCTACTTTCGGCACTATGTAGATTTTACCTCACTATTGTCCCGATGTTAGGACCTAAAAGGAGCAAGGGTATGATTCATGACAATAGACGGGAAAAGGCGCACAAAGAATATCAGTGTTTTCAGTCACTCCCAGGTTTCGGCAGTTCGTTTGAGCTTTGATTTGTAGTAGCTGATAACTAGACCGGGCGGAGATACAGGCACATGCAGCGCAGCTTGGCCAGCTAACTAACACCGCAGTGCTCTATGCGTCCTACTAACATACACCATAAACATCTACCCCTTCCTCTCTTTGTCTCTCTTCTTCTTCTTACCAACAAATCCCCCACCCAGGCACTTCCCCCTCCCCCACCAGCACCTCCTTCCCCTTTCCCTCCCCCCCATCCCCCTCTCCTCCCCCATCCCACACAGCATTCACCCGGCTCACCACATCCTCTAGCTCGCGTAGCCTTCTTCTTCGCCTCCTCTGCCGGCGGCGGCGCAGCAGCATCTCCGCCCTGCCTTCACCTTCACCCTCTTCTCCTTCTTCTTCTTCTTCTAGCTCTTCTTCTTGCTCTTGCTCGTCTGCTTCGTTGTCATTGTCTTCGACCCTGTCTTCGCCTCCGTCTTCGTCTTCGACTTCGTCTTCGACTCCGTCGTCACTGCCGAGCGCCAGCGTCGCACCCACCAGCACAAGCTCGACCCGGTACCGCGCGCGCACGAACCAGGCCTTGATGAGGAGGCGGGAGGCGAGGCGGATAAGATTTGTAACCTCACCCTCACCTTCAGCGTCGACGTCAACCCTCACACCCACCCCCCCAGGCACGCCAGCCGTCGCCATCCCCTCCAACACCCCCCGTACCCAATACAGCGCCTGCGGGCCCCGCAGCGTCATGCCCCGCAGCGCGAGGCGTTGGTGGGGTGTGCAGTGGGATAGGAAATGGGATAGCTCTGAAACGGGGGTTTGGTGGGGTTGACATTGGGGTGGAAAGTAAGTGCCGAACACGACACTGTTCTGCCGCAGGGCCTGCGTTGGTGTCTCTGCGCGGAGCTGGCGGCTGGTGCGGCGGAGCGCGAAGAAATTGGCGGAGGCGGAGCTTTGGCTGGAGCTTGCGCTTGCGCTTGCGCTTGCGCTGGAATCGGGGTTTGAGTGGAGGTTGGAGTCAGGGCAAAGCGCGTTGCTCGCTGCGTGGTAGAGCAGCTCGCGCGCTGGGGCCGTGAGGACGAGGTCGTAGATGTGGTCGCGGAGTTCGCGGGGGAGGGAGAGGAGCCGCGATGGCTGGTGCTGCGCAGTGATGCTGCGACGGCTGCCGCTGCCGGATGACGAGGCTGTCGTCGCTATCGCCATGACCTCTTCGTTTTCCGTGTCGCGACAGGCACCAAAGCCGCGGTACGGCACTCGCACGGCAATCGCGACGTCCGTCCCGTTCCTGGATGCGTCTCGTACGGAGTACGGAGGTGGGAGGTGGGTCTCCCTCTGGCTCTGCTCTGCTCTCCGGCCGGTGCGCTAATCCGATGCGTGTATGTGTCCAGCTCAGCTATCTAACAGGCAGGTAAGCAGCCAGACAGACAAATACGTCTGACCCTTCTTTTCCTCTCTCTTCCTCTCTCTTTCGTTCGTTCTTCTCTCGTTCTTCTTCGTTCTTCTTCCCTCCCGTCCTGTCGTCCAAGGCCGCGTGTGCTCAGGTCGGTCGTGTTGAAAGGAAAAAGTCTAGGTCAGACTTTTCTCTTTTTCTTTCATTTTCCCCTCCTTCATTTGTTCGTTCATTCGTTTCTAACCTAGGTTACGTCTGCTCCTTTGCTCCGCATCAGCGGCGGCCGCCAGCCCAGAAGCAAGCGCGGATGCGGAGCCGGTCGCTTTGATTCGCTTCGATTCGTGCAGGACGGGTTGCGCTTGCATGACGTAGGTAGGTCGTCTTTGGCTGACTGGTGCCGGGTGCCGGGTGCGGTTGGCGTGGGTTGCGCCGTTTGGCTTGGCTTGGTTTGGTTTGGCTGGTGGCGACTGGCGATGGCTTTTGAATTTGGGGGTTAGTGCGTGTGGGGGTGGGGATGGGGGGCGGGGGTTGTAAATGTGGAGTTTGGTATTGTTGCTGTTGCTGTCTATGTATTCATATTTGATATTAAGTGCGTTATTTCCCTCGTGTGCTGCGTATGTACTGTGCTTGCTTGCTTGATGCTGGGAGCGAACAATGCCTTCCAGGCTCTAGAGGCAGGCATTTCCTGAGTAGAGCTGGTTGGCTTGACTGGCTTTGTGAGGCTGTAGCAAAGCAAAACTTAAACCCCTGCCCTGAGTCCTTCCCACCTATGCCCACAGCCTGAGGTTTCGTCCCTCTCTGGGGCTGACCCTTCTGAACTCCCTCTCACGAAGCACTGCCTTCCAAACCCGGCATGCCGTCCAAACCGCCCACCTCGTCAGCAAACTTTTCGAAATCGACGCCGTTGGCCTCGAAAAGCTCGCGCGCCTTCTTGACGGCGTCCTGCTGGCGCGCGGGCGTGAAGCCTCCCGGCTGGCTGCTCTCGTACTGGATGAGCTCGATCCAGCGGAAGAACAAGCTCTCCTTGCCCATTTGGGTGAGCTTGTCCTTGAACAGGACGATTTTCTTGCGGCCCTCGTCCTCGGCGCCCTCGTCCAGGCGGTAGATCTCCCACACGCACCAGCCCGTGTCCTCGCCGGCGTGCACCCACACGCTCTTCTCAAACGCGCTCTCGGGCAGCGTCTTGGCGTCGACCAGCTGCGTCGCGCGCACCATGCCCGCAAAGTCCAGGTCCCAGTCCGCGTTCATGAGCAGGTAGCCCGTCTTGCGGCTGACGAGCCCCCGGTCCACGGCGGGCAGGATCCGCGTCGCGAAGAACGGGCTGTCCTGGCCTCTCTTTCCTGACCCGGACTCCTCGCCCAGCAGGTCGCTGGCGCCCCACCCCCGACTGCCGCGCACGTAGATCTCAGCGTTGCGGAACCCGACGGCCCACCGCCACGTGCACGGGTTGCCCGGCCGCTCAAAGAAGAACGTCACCGGCCAGTTGCCGATGATAGTCACGAGCACGTAGTCCAGCAGAAACATGAAGCCGCGCGTCACCGTGAGCCGTGCCAGCTGGCCCCAGGTCCGCTCCGCGCGCGGCACCGTCGCGTCGTTCTTCTTGCCCATGGCCGCGAACGCCATCTCGTAGTACATGGGCCCGGCGGTGTAGAGGCGCCAGACCAGCAGCGCGGCAATGGCCAGGTTCAGCAGCACCGGCACGGTGAAGATCTGCTTCTTGAAGTCGGCCGGGTGCCGGTCGATGTGCGTGATGTAGATGCGCGCGGGGTCGAGCTTCTCGTAGAAGGGCGCCAGCTCGGCCGGGGCCGTCGAGAAGGGCGGCGGTGGCCCGCTGGGCTTGGCCTTGGCCGCGGCAGGCGCGCCGCCCGCCTTGGCGACGCGTTTGGCGGGATTGCGAGCCATTGGCGATGTTTTTGGTGGGATGGGTGCGATACAAAAGGAGCCACGGAGCTTCAAGGGAAAGAGAGCTAGCTAGCTCGGACTTAAGACGGCCGCCGGCTCTTTGTCGGCACATGGTCCATACCAGACCCAATCCGGTAACCAAATGATCTAGGTAGATACATCTGATACAAATACAACATGTCTCGGATAATTCATACACACACACACACACTATTCATAACCTCCATACCTGCCCTCCTTCCGTATCTCCACCGTCTCCTCCACCGTCCCGAACGCCGTAACCCCCGCCCCCACTCCTCCGCTCCCCCTCACCTCCCCAAACCTCACCCTCAAGCCCCTCAACTCAGCCACGACATTCTCATCCCCACCAAGACAGCACCTCCCCGCCAGCCGATTCAGCTTAGTATCCCCGGTAGTCGTGCACAGAATCTGCAAGAACCCGCCCGCATCAGCCGCGACGCCGTTCTTCAGCAGCGCAACCAGCCCGCACACGACGCACGCGAGCGCCACGCCGAGCGAGACAGCGTACGTGACGACGAGGTACGCGCGGTGCGCGAGCACGTACGTCGTGTGGAAGAACGTCTGCGTAGCCTGCACCGTGGTGTTGCGCTGCTGCAGCAGCAGCGTCGACACGGCGAGCTTCTGCATCAGAGCCTCAAGCTTCGCTGCTGTGAGGCTGGACGCTAGGTACGAGTAGTTGCTGGAGTCGGTCGCGAGGAACGCGCTGTCCAGCAGCATCGTGTTGGTCGCTTGGAAGCCTATGTTGGCTGGTTATGGCGTGTCAGTTTTTATCGGGTTTGAAGATGTAGGAGTAGTGAGGGGTCCGGATCTGCTTACTATAGCCCACGATGGCTCCAGCCAGAGTCGAGGTCAGCGCCTCGCTGATCGCGCGTATGTTCAGCCCGGCCACCGCCTGCGAGATGGGAATGCTGCCGTGCGGCGGGACGAGCATGGGCTCGTCGACCTGCGTAAAGTTGATCTTGAGGAAGGGGTCCGGATCTGTGCCTGCGTCCTCGAACCAGACGTTACCAAAGAGCGACGCATTCAGCGGTTGAGGCTCGTCGAAAACTTCCCACGTCAGCGTCTGCTTGTCCTCGATGAAGCTGGCGTTGACGGAGTAATTCGCGGCGAGGGTGACGCAGCTGATGTTTTCTCCTCCTCCGGGAGTCCTCATCGAGTCGATCATCGGATACTGCATGTCGAAGCGGAAGTACTGCGTCGACCCATCCCCGAGTATCGTCTCGTTCACGATTTGCTGCGCCCCAAGATATCGCCATTCGATGTCCGCAGGGCCAAATCCGGCGGAGGCGGTTCCTACCGAGAACGCTGGCGTTGCGTTCGCGGTCGGGTACTGGGCTTGGACTACTTTATGGAGGCCTGGAAATGTTTTTGACTGGCACTTCAAGACCGGCCCGGAGAACTGTATATTGTACGAACAGTTTCGGCCGCAAGTGGATGGCATGGTGAGGTAGTCGTCGGCGAGGAGCACCCGTTTGGCTAGTCGTATGATCGGAGTCCGAGGTTGTCTAGAAAGAGATAAGCATTGTTCGTGTAGGAGACCAGTCTGTGGATGGAGATTACAACATACGCATAAGCTGAGGGATAAGGCAGGACGGAGAACAAAAAGCTCGGCTCAAAGTCTTCCCAAAGACCGTTTCCCAAGTATGCTGGATCAAACGTGGGCACAACCACATCAGTGTGGATGATTCTAGACCTAGAATGAACGACCAAAGCACCAGGAGGCAACACCGTTCCGATTGGAATGAGTGTCAATAGAAGCCCAAAGATCCAGAGAAATGGCGCATGGAAAAGGACATCCCAGCAGAAGAGCCGCAGCGGATTTCTTGTCAGCGACATCAGAGAGTCGATCGTGGATACTCTGTGCGCCTTGAGTCTCATTCGACGCCAGAGCAGTTGGGCAAATGCAGTGCCGAGCGATGTCGTTAAAAGTACACTGTAGACGCGAACGAAAGCGGTAGACATGGCCGCGACCCAAGATTGTGACAGCGAGTCTTCGACAAGACGCCCGTCTAGATAGTTGAAGAAGAGGTAGTTGCCTAGTGCTGTCAAGAAGGCTATTTACTGGTTAGTAAACCATCACCATTGTATTCGACGCCGGTCTTTACCTAACAAATAACACCCAACTATGATTGCTATCGTCGTCCACCCGATGGACCACTTGCAGAACCTCGGGTCAGTTTGTCCAAATAATTGCCTTGGTTCATTCTGAGTGACTTCGGTGTCTTGCTTGGGAACGACATGAATGCTTGACACGACCTGGCCACTCCTTGTTGACGTCTGTGACAGAGATGGGCTCAAAGACTCCATGTTTGCCGGGTAGATCCCAAGTTCCTGGCGGTGGCCATCTTCTTGCCTGACCGCCGTGTATTGGCCAAACGAGTGGCTAGAAGCAGACATCATTGATCGTGGTCAAAGACAGAGCAATGTCTGCTAGTTAGCGAGAGCGACAAAAAGCGATGCAGTTTTCGCAGCAAGAAGGCATGGTCTTGTCTTTTTTCTAAGTTCGACGGGCCTGACCTGCTAGAAGGACATCCATGATAGCTGAAAGGTTTTGGCCCCCAATCGACTAGCGTGACGTCAAGGCAGTGTTTCATGATTCGTCCGTCGTTATTCCCAAAGTTGGTGGCTGTTTCACTAATATATGGAAGCAGGCTGGAGCCTGGCCAATTGTCGTACGAATCAAGGTCCCTGGTATTGGCTTCCTGCAGGCTCGAGGAAGTTTCCGAAGCCATGTGTGAGGGTAGTTGAGCTAGCGCCCGATCCTTCGGGTCTCAATTAACTTTTAGAGCAAAGACACGGACATCATGGGCTCAGCGCTACCTGGCCATACCCCTACCTCTTACAGAAATCAGTGACTACTTGGCTCGTCAATATAGATATCACTACTTACCCATGCACTCCATACGCCGAGAGAACTTCTTAGTCCTCCATCCTGGTATCTTCATCACCACGCTCTCCCTCTCCAACCTTGTCCTCCGCATCCGTATCGGCCTCCACCTCAACGCCCTTATCTGCTCCAGGAATACCAGGGAACCCTGGCCCAAGCTCCTTTGCTCCGTTCTCGACAAGTTCTTCATCGACCTCGCTGAGCTCGCTTTCATCGTCCGCGCTGTCATGTACCGACCCCGGTGCGCTCTGCTCCACGCTCCCGGTCCCAGCCGCGCCTGAAGCATCTTCTTGTCCTTCTGCATCCTTCGAAGACGCAGTAACACGGACTTGTGGCTCGCTCGTCGGTGCCACGGAGCCGCGAACCGGCAATGTGGAAGGCAATACGACGCGTGTGGTCGCCGCATCCGCTCTGCGCATGAGCTCACGACGCCCGACACCTTTGGCGCGAGGCTTGGGTGCTGGCTCGGACTGCTGTGGTGCCATACTCATGACGTGGAAGGCAGGCTGCGTGGGCGGCTGAGGTTGAGTCTGCTCGCTGCTGCCCTCAAGGTTCATGATGTTCTGCATAGACATCATGTTGGTACGGACCGGGTTCGTTTCGACGGGCGTGGGTGCTGTAGGTGCTGTAGGTGGCTGTTGTTGGGCAAGGGCAGCCGCTGCAGCGGCTTCGGTGGCTGTGGGTGCGAGCGTGGGCCCAACTTGAGCATACAGCTGGGCGTAAGTGTCGCAGATTAGGTCATCGACGAGTGTGGCCTTCATCAGGCCGTTATTAAGGCGACGAAGCTCGAGGGTTTCACGTAACACTTCGTAAGTTGCCCCCTGGCTCTCCGAGCTCTGGCACCACTCCTCAAGCCGCCCGGCAATAGTGGTGAACTCGTCGTGATTAATCGACTTGAAAATACTGTCTTCGTGACCCTCGGGGACCTGAGCGGCACGTCGGAGCATTTTCAGGTAAGTGAGACAGAGGGTATGCCACAGCTTCGAGTGCTCGAAAAATTCGTGGTTCCTGCGGCGGACCCTTCTAGCCAAGGCCTCCATGCCAGCCCTATCGTTTGTCCGGTCGAGAAGAAGAATAAAGAATTGTGTGTAGCGAGTTGTGTAGACGAAATGCCTTCCCAGACGTTCAAACTCCGGCTTCCAGACTTGCAACTGCATGGTCTTTGTGAAGACCGATTGCGAGAATTCATTCTTCGCCGTTAATGCTGCCATGTACACATCTTCGGGCGATGGGTCACCGAAATGGATCCGCGCAGCACGGGCTGTCATACGGTGATGCCAGTTCGACTTGTCTGCTGTCCTGATAACCTTTAGGACCTTCAGAACGTAATCATCCCAGTCATCATGGTCATCAGGGTCTTCTTCAGGTGCGAATACTGGAAGTTGTCTGGCATAGTGAGAAGCCTGTAGCGTCTCACTCGCTACCTTCGGCAGCAACTCATTACGTTGCACAAGCTTATGAACGGCTGAGAGCAGTTTGTAATGCGGCTCAAGTATGGGCTCACGGCGTTCTCGTTTTTCAGGAAGCTCCTCAATCGAGTGGACAAAGGCAGCAACAACTTCTTGAACTCCTGGACGAGGCTGGAACCGCGTCTGGCTTTCTTCTGCGCAGTGCATCTTCCAAAGACATTTCCCGAGCACAAAATGGTTCCTGTACATGTCAGTCGCGTCAGGTGTGATTATCGGGCCATGACTCACATCCAATTGTTGGGATTACCCGCAATAGCTCTCTTGAACAGACCTGTGGAGAATTTCCAAGCGGCGAAATGCGTCAAAGGTATAAAGGGCACGCTCTTCATGACTTGTGCTGTACTGTAGAAACGCTCTTCGGTGTCCTTGAGGGAAAAGGCGTTCATGGAAAGAGGCTCGCGCGATGAGGCATAAATTCTCATGCCGAAATCGGCATAGAGCTGGGCCAGCTTTTTGGCAGTTTCTTGAGATGCGTCGGCATTTCTGATTGCAGTCGCGACAGCCATAGTATAGCAATGTATAGCAGATCTCTGGTACTGGATCAGCTCAGGATCGCCCTTGTTTACCTTCTCCGCAGACCACGCCACAAGTTCGTCAATCTGGTAGTCAAAAGCTTGCGCTTGGCTGTACCATGTTTCCCACCGCTCAGAATCGTACTCGAGGTCTTGCACGAAGAACGCAGACGCTATATTGATGTCCTCGGTCGGGATGGGTGCTTGCCGCTTTTGAATTTGAGATTTGAAGCGGTTCAATGCGATACTGCCCATAAGGAAGTGCCAGCCTTTGGCTGCTATGCGAGCATGTTTCGCAGCAATTGGTTTCGTCGATAGCCCACCGATACCGTTGATGCATCTGTACAGGTCGAGAGGGTTGAGCGGAGACTTGATAAAAGCAAGATATTTCATCCGGTTTGCAGCCAGGTCCTCGGTACCCGCCGGCTTGAAACGGGCCAAATGCCCGTGAACGATGTCGATGGTCGAACCAAGTTGAGTCTTGTGCAAGTCTTTGATGTTGACTTTTCGCGTCTGGTACATTAGGAAATCCAGCAATCTGAGGGCAGTCTTCTGATCGAGAATGTCCTTTTCACTTGCGTATTCTGCCTTGTCCGAAGGGTTGGTAAAGCAGAACAACCCATATAGGTCGTGCAGAACCTGACACAAGACAGTGTCGCGCGTCTCAGTATCGGCCACTTCGCCAGCTTTGAACATCTTCAAGAGTTCATCCTTCATAACGCGAAGTAGGATCTTGTTAGAGGCGGAACAGGTGCCACGAATACCGAAAGCGTAATGCATGTGGCGAAGATACTCAAACTTCTCCTCTATCGGAGTTGGAAATAGCTCTTCATTTTGAGACATTGCGTCTGTAAACAAGAGCATCTGTAAAATCCAACCACGAAGCTGAGTGTCGTGAAGTCTGCCGGTAACTGTGGGGAAGACGTTATTGGGACGACCGTCATGGGTTGGAGGCGAAAGTTTTCCGGCCCGGATGGCATCTTCGTAGACGTTGAGGGTATTCAGCATCCAAAGAAGCTCGCCAACTGCGGCCAGAGATGAGCGCATGTGAGGTTCGTCGATGCACTCCAGGACGTTTTCGCTGCCAAAAAGCTTGATGATGCTGACAAGTATCTCATCAATAATCCGGAGCCATTTCACGATCTCAAGAATCCTTTGATCGACAGGCATCTCAGCATAAGCCGCACTTTTCATGTCTTCAACGAGGATCTCAATACTCCGTAGATAGCAAGAAACCACCTTTGGCGTGTAGTCGATCACCTCGTAGGCTTGCCGCAGCCGTTGCCAAAGTGAGAGCCGGAGCGTGACGTTGGCGGTTGAAATGAACTGTGTCATTGCTTTTAGCGGCGAAGGTCTTGCATCCAGTAGGGTTGCTTCATCCATATCAGTGTCGGATCCGGCAATCTCTTGGCTGTCTGCAATTTCAGTTCTGGGCTCTGCCTGAGTCTCTGGTGGCGCCACATTAGACGACTCCAATATTGGCTCCAAGTTTTCAATAACTGCCACCGGGTCCTTCTCATCGTGCTGGAAAACCTTCATGAAACAATCCTTCATGTTGATTTTCATGAGTTCACGTTCAGCTGCCGCGACGGAAAGCTCGGACATGACAGCATTATTTTGGATGTTGATAGTGGGACCGGGCATGAGACCGGCGAGAGCCTTTAGCTCTTCGAGACAGAGGACAACATAGTCTTGCTCGACGCCATCAGAGACAGTGAGGTGGAATGTTGTTGCCCACAAGTACCTGAATTCAAGCTCTTCGAGAGTCTTCTTTTGCTTGCGCCTGACCCGGTAGCTGATCACGTCCCGAGTGAGCCCAGCCCATCGTTCTAGGCGCTCGTTTTGTAAGATTTGTGTGGCTTCATCCACACTGCTACCAGGATGCTTGATTAGAGAGTAGACATCTAAATGTAGCTCAAATATTGTCTGGATCATCTCGACCAACGAGAGATCTTCGTCAGACAATTCTGGTAATTTTCCGGAAACTTCACTTTGCAGAATCCGCGCATCCAGGTCGGACGCTTCTTGAAGCAAACGTTCGAAAATGAAGTCGTCTGCGTTGACGATAGTTTGAACTACTGTCCGCTTGAGGCCGTCGGACCATTGGTGACGCATGTAGCCTGATTGTTGCATCGCGTTTGTGGAAGAAGCACACGGCCTAAGCATGCGTTCGAGCCATAACCAAAGGAATTCCTTACTAGAGAGGCTTTTCCCTTTGTGCTCCTGTGACCAGTCCAAGAGACCTTCGTCGTCGAGAATTGGCTTGTTCGAGCCTTGTGATCCTGAAGATTTTGCGTAGCCAAGGAAGGCAGCCAGGCCTGCCTCGCGCGTACTGCCGCCCAAAGAGTCGATGGAGTCGCCTGTCAAGAGGATAGCTACTGCCTGCGGTGAACACGTCTGAAGGAAGGCAAACAAATCTTTTGAAGCCAGATCGAGGCTTGGCTGGTTGACACTTGTCCTGCTGTCCTTCAGAATGCTCCTCAAAGTCTTTGGAGAACCCAGTCCACTGACGCCAAGCTTTGCAAGCATGTCACCAACAATCTCATACAACCAGTCATCAGCTTGTTCGAACTGGTTGGACTCAGAATCCCCCTGTTGCTTAGACGTGTCCGCGCTAGTGCCATTAACACCTAACGCCCCCTCGCCGATGGATTCACGAGCTCGGATACGCTTGCTTCTTCCGCGACCACCTTCTGCGGCTTCAGGAAGTCCCGCCGATTCGGTTGATCTCTTCCTTGTCATGGCCGGCTGGTCCGGCTGATCGGGGGTGTTAGTTTCACCATCGGCTGCACCCTCTTGTTCCGCGCCATCTTTCATCTCGGTGTCCCCAGCCACTTCCGTAGTCGCTGCTGTGGGCTGCCCATCTACCTGAGCATCATCAGGTTGGCTGACCGGTTGGGATTCGGAAGGTACTATCTCATTTCCAGAACTCAACGTTTCCTCGGCGGCCGGGAAGTGAGGAAGATTGAGAAGAACAGAAAGTCCGGCAGCTGGGCCGACAAGTCTCTGCGGACCTTGCAGGTACTCATTGAGAATCGAGTCGCCGACATGCGCCCAATCAAATTTGCCAGGAGTCAATGACAAGAGAACAGGTGGCCGATTGAGGGTGGATTGTAAATTCTGGCGCCTATTAACTTCTGCGGGCAGGGGAGCGAAAGAATATGGTGCCAGTCGTTTCCTGAGGGCTGCCGATAACCTTTTCCGCCCAAGGCTGGACAAAGGCGCCTGTGATAGCGACAGGTCATCTTGCAAAGTCTGGACCAGTTCCCGCAGCTGAACTCCCGCAAAGCCCTCCTCCAATCCGGGAATACGCAGTATACTGCCCAGACCCTCATCATCACCTTCCAAGACAGCCTCCAGACAGAAACGGGCGATTCTATCACTGCCTGCTAACGCTGCTACCGAGGACGAACGCGACCACAGATCAAGGTCGGTATCATCCTTGTCCAGCGCCTCCGCAAAATAACTCAGCGGCCCCTCTGCAATAGCCGCTGCTTCTGCCGGACCTAAGGACGAGAATGTGTTTTCGGCGCGCGTGTGGTGTTCCTCGAGTCGGTGTTTGAGCAGTTCCAGTATGAACTGGCCATGGTTCTTGTACGAAAGATGGAGAATCTGGGGCAGAGTATTGGGAGCGCTGTCGGTAGCACCAACCAGTTGTACAGGGCCTGCGTCGTAGTCCTCCTGGTATAAGAGCGCATCGTAGTCGATTTCGCCGTGGACTTCAATGCGGCGGTATTCCGACAGCGATTCGGGGTACTTGAAGATGTCCGATTCGAAGAGGGCCTTGTAGGCGTGCGCGGCGGCGTCGAAGGACGAGGGACCTTCGGAGTGCAGCTTCAGGGCGGTCTGGTACAGCTTGAGGGCCTCCTCGATCTGGATTTCCTTGGTGTCGTCGATTTCCTCGTCAGACTCGACGTCGGATTCGATGTTGAGGGCTTTGAACTGCGACTGCGACGAGTTAGCAGGGAACGGCGCGAGCGATGGCGGCTTACCATTTTGGCCGAGCGAGCGGCAGCCCGGTGTCGAGAGGAGAGTTGTCGCGAAGCTGGGGTTGTCGCGTGGGAAGCTCCATGATTCGCGTCGTCACCGCCCGCTTTGTGATCGGCGCGACTGGTGCCAAGACGGGGCATCCCTGCGCGCCAGGTGCGCAGCCCGGGGTTGTTGGCGACGTATGGAGCTCCGAAGACATGTACAGGAATCTCGTCCTCTCCGCCATGTTCTGATCTCCCTCGCAACCCTTCGATTCTGCTTCAGCCACCCGATCGAACAATTGGCGCCACTGCCGCACTCTGCGCCGAGCAATCATGGCTCCCCAACCAGCTGTTCCCGAGTAGGTTCGCATCCGTCTCCGCTACATCCCTTTGCATCTGGCACTGCCGCCGTGGCTAGAGCACTCGTCTCTAGATGATTCCAGTCGCCGTGCATGCTGCCAGCCCCTAAGCGTTCCATGCTATCCCGTCTGGCGCTCCGTCTGGTCTTCGCGACAGCTAGCTGACGCGTCCCGTCGCAAACAGAATTTACGAGGACGAGTTGCACTCCGTCGTCGATGCGCGCACCGAAAGTCTCCAGGCATTGCGTGAACTAGGTCCGCCTGATCTGGTCCACCTGGTCAAACAGCCAAAAGGCACCACGAACAAGGTGCGTAAGAATGTATCGAGGGAGAGACAGTCGCTGATTGACGGCTAGGTTGGCGTGTACCACCATGTCACCGGAATCGATGCGTCCTCTTCCGCCAGCCTTGCGGCCCATATCAACACATTGACCTTTACGCCTCACGATAAAACGAACAAGGTTGTGTCGGGATTGTACTGGTATGGATAGCAGCCATTGCTCGAGAGCCCGGCTAACGTACTTAGCTGCTACAATGCCTTCTCCCGACTTGACATGCGCGTTCAAGTCTTCATTCCTGGATCGGTGGAGAGCTATTGCATTGATGAGCGAGGCGAGAAGCGAGTCGCTTCGGACGAGCTTTGGCTGGAGACGTATCTGTGCAGCGTCTTGCGCGCCTACTCGTACGCCGATGACGGTTCTGGCGATACCATTAAGAAGATTGTCGGCGTGAGGCGATTCAACCCCATCACAAGCACGGAAGCGGAGCACAAATTCTTGGATGCCGCCGAGCGCCTGTTCTTCAATGGCTGGCAGCTCGGCTCTGACCCGGAGATTCAAGTTCCTAACCTCGTTTCGAATCACCTGACCACTGGCCTTTTGGACTACATCCACACCACCGGACGGTACGCATCGGGTATCAATCTCTTTGAGAAACTGCGATCTCGGGATCCTGAAATCGGCTCTCTGCTTGCACGGGTGTACATCGCTGCGGACGAGGAGGTCAAGGCCGTCAAGCTGCTCCACGATTCCATCCAGGAACTGCCAATGGACTATTCTTTACTGGACTGTCAAGCCGATTTTGTGAACAAAAAGGGACGAGGAGATCTTGCGCTGGAAATTGCGAAGCGGAGTGTTGTATCCGCGCCGAGTGAATTCGGGACATGGGCGAGGCTAGCGGAGATATACGTCAGTCTCGAGCAGTGGGACTTAGCCCTTTTGACTCTCAACTCTTGTCCCATGTTCACATACCAGGATAAAGATGCGCCGCGTATGCCTGAACCTCTTCGGGTCAACCTACCGGTCATGCCGGAGAGTCAATGCGACGAGATTGATGATGGTGCGGGCCTAACGGATTTTGAGACGGTGCACCCTACGTTACGGAAACTCCACGCTGCTGGATTCAAAGGAACTTTCCTGAAGGCCTACAAGCTCCTCACCAAGGTCACCGAAAAAATTGGATGGGATCAATTGCTCCGGATACGTAGTCAAGTCTTCGTCATGGAGGAAGAGTACAGGCACGAGAAGCAGACCGTTGCAGCCCACCCGCAACCCTCAAGCCGCAACGCCAGCACCAGCGCAATAAGGTCGCCAAGCCCTCAAACCAATGGCCACGGCCCCGTAGAAGAGAGCGGCGAGGGCAGCGCAAACGGGGAAGGCCAATCCAGCGAGGCCGGCGACTCATTGGAAAAGCCCGAGTCCACGATTGCTTCCGAGGAGGTCAAAGCAGGAAGCGGTAGCGAGGACCCTGACCCTTCTCACTCTTCGTACACGCAATTCCAAAACAAGCGCCTTTGCGAGCGCTGGCTCGACAACCTCTTCATGGTTCTTTACGAGGATCTGCGCGTCTACACGATTTGGCGGACTGAAATGGCGCAATACCGCCAGCAACAGCTTGTGTACAAGAAGACGCCCGATGAGTGGGAGATTCTAGGTGAACTTGCGGAGCGCCTGCATCACTTTGAGGAGGGCGTGGAGGCCTACCAAGCTTGTCTGAGCGCTAAATTCTCGCCCAAGGCGATGCGCGGCGTGCTTAAGCTGTATGAGCAGCAAGGAGACGTCAGGAACATGCTTGGCTCACTCATCAAGCTGGTGACATGGCAGTACAGGTGGTACTCTGAGGTGAGTTTTTGGTATAGATGTATAAGTCCAAGATTGCTAACGGCTCGTCAGTTTTCTCCGCCTTTGCTTTTCACGATCCGCAGGCTCATTGAGGAGGAAGGCACCCTCAAGGTGCGGAGCATCATCCAGGGCACGAGTCTTCCGCAGCACGTGCTGGAGTTGACGCATCAGTACACGGCTCTGGTGGCCTCTTTCCGCACGCCGGGCACGGAGTGACTAGCCGATGCTCCTTAATAGTAATGTCCCGATGTGCGCCGACACGATTTGAGATACACACGAGATAGGATACCTTCGCATGGATTTTCTTGGAGACGGAAAGGGGTTATGAAGTAGCTTGGAGACTCGGGCTTGATTAGTTGTAGAGCTGCGATTGATTGAATTGGACCTGTTACTGACTGCAATGTTGTTCTTCGGCGTGCATGGCTTATTGCTTGTAAAGGCAACTGTTAACTTACTGGGGTAGTCTCATACTTGTCAGCCACGGCCAATCAACATATCACCAAGCGGGTCGTTCATACGTCCACGTTGCGCGTCAGGTTTCTATTTTGGTTACTGCATGCATCAGAACACGACTTGTAAGTAAGCGGGGTAATCCCGACTCAATCCTCGGCTGAAGCACTTGAACTCCTTTCTTGTCATCAGAAACATCGTGGGGGCATTAGTCTGAATATGACCAGCGCAGCAGACCTCGGAAGTTCAGATTCGCTAGCACGCCAACAGTCTAACAATGAATAGATCACGTATATCGGCGTGCCGCTTACGGTAGCGGGCGTGATTCTGCTCTTTTGGAATATGTTCAAATCATTCTGGATCCGATACCATCTTTCGAGATCTGTTCCATGGGAGTTCAGGCCCTTCTACAGCCTTATCGCCGACCCTGCCGCAGGCACTGTGACCGTGGTGGCTCGCACGCCACGTCTTAAATGCCCATGGCTTTGGAAAGACAAAATCGGCCATGAGCAGACACCTTCAACAGAATGGCGTCTGAAACGCTGGCGCCATCGAACCTTCTACAGTTCTATAAAGTGCTTCAGGTCACTATACTGGCTTTTACCGGTCACAATATTTCGGCTATTTAAGAAATTGGGACAACGTAGTCATTCCAAAAAAGATTCTACTGGCATTGATCCTATCACTGTACCCAGTAGGGCCTTTCAAATGGAGCTTAGCGGGAATTCTAACTGGTCGACTTACAACCTAGCTTTGGAATCGCGCAACAAAGCCGAGAAAATCAAAACAGAATTTCATGTAGGCCAGCCGACTTTACTCCACAGTGTCTGGATGACGGCATCGCTTCGATGCGGGTTCAGCATGTGCTCTGAAGACGACGAGTCAGCGCGTAATCTGGAGTATAGGTTACAAGAAGAGACGCGTTTTGTTGTGGATGGTGATCTGAGCATAGGGAAACCAACACCCTTAGCAATGGATTGGGCGCAATTCGTCTTGTTCGTTCGAGGTATTGGCATCCACCCTTTCCATGTTGACCCGGATTTGAAGGACTACAAGCTCGTGGCTATGGATGGGAACACGGTACTTCGTGTGTCGGAAGTCAATCATCGATGGTTTGCTGAGCTTCAACCAAATCACAATCATCAGCGGTCCGTCCGACGAGCTCTTGCTTGGGACCACATTATGGTTCTTGACCGCAACAAATCGTTCTTTTGTTGGGCACTTGGAAAAAACTACACTGTCCCCTTGCACACTCTTAATATTGGCTCGGGACTATCCTCAGCTGTCAGTCCTATCTGTTTAATAAACAATAACTATACCACGGATCTCACAAAGGATTCGATCTCTTCGAGCCGATGCGACATGTCCGGGAGAGATCCTCAAGATTGTCCGGATCAACTAGCTGCAGCCCTAACGTGGTTGTTTTACGAGCAAGGGTGTCAAAGGCGAGGCGAAATCCTGCCTATCAGTCAGCGATTCTTAGAAGTACGAGAGCGGAGTTTATGTCTTTTGAAAAGACTTGACCGAGAAACAGTTCCTGAACAGAGAATGCATTCGATACTGGCCACGCATATAGAACGGGAAAAACTGTCCGCTGTACAGGCTACGGCCTTGAAAAATTCTAAGATCTCAAAACTCTCAGATAAAGTTTTAAGCAGTCTCCGAAAGGCTTTCGATAATTCTGAGTACGTTGTTGGGACATGTAAGCTTTATGAAAGTTTACCCAAATTATACGGTCCAATAAGATTTTCTTTATGGGGAGGGGAGTACTTCAGCCTTCTAGCAGAAGAGGTTGGAGAGCTTCTCGAGACAACCCAAAGACCGCTGAAGGACGCTTTCCAAAACCGACGTACCGCGACAATCGACAACCCGGAACTGGAATCAAGCGAGAACCTAAGAAGACTCAAATCATTATTTGATCCTTTTGAAGCCGAGATACCGAAGCGAGAAGTTCAACTAGCTGACGAATCGGACGACATGACACTTCTAGCACATATTCTCCTAGGTCTTGCCGATTGGGAAGGGTGCCGAAGGCAACGATGGATGCTTACAGATGAGATGTCTTCCATAACGCAAATACTGAATAACAAAGCCTCAGAACGCAGTGACAAGGAAATTGGATACGTATATGAGATAGCTACGGAAGATTTTGACAAGCTAAAAAGGCACGCGGAGCATGGCATTTACGCTTCACCCCCTTTACCAAAAAGGAATACTCTATTGCAGAGGGAAAGGAATATGTATTTACTCTAGGTGTCTGTCCGTACATAATCTATAACGCAATAATTTCTTTTCTAAATGTAATATGTTGAGGATAAAGCAACTATGCTACGTTATATGCCTAAAACATAATGATACTCTAAATGCGTATACCATTTTAAAAATAAGTAAGTACCTGTTTGCCAAAAAATGTGCGGCGCTGTTACACACTACTTTACACCAAACACACTTCCAGTAACCTCAGCAGCGTGAAAAGTCCAGTCTTTATGATGCTCTTACACCTAAAAGAAGTTTTGAATGTGGAAGATCAGATCGCCCTACTAATTAAATACCAATACAAAACATCAATCTTCCCCGCAGCTTCTAAACAGCGACCACTTGCGCCTCGTCCTCTTTCTCAGGCTCTCATCGTTTTCATCAGTCTCATTAACCACCTCTATACCCCATCGGTTTTCTCCGTCACTGTCCTCGAAGGTGCCTAACGTGGTCATTATACGGTCGTCGCTCTCCAGATCTTTCCAGTCCCTACCTCGAAGCAGCCGAAGGAGTTTGTCGCTTCCAGCAACGAGGACAAGAACGTCCGCTATGCATTCGACATCCCTTATCAACCTCTTGAGATGGATCCGCTGTATTGCGGCGACAACTATCACCGTCGCAATGAGCCAGCCGATTATTGAAACACTGAGCCATACCGCGATAGGGTTCATACGCAATAGTTCTATCGGAGTAGAAATCTGTATGGTAACCGTTTGGTCGGTGTCTGGGACCGGGTGAAGCTCATTCCGGAAGCGTGTCTCGCCTTCCTCGACACTAACGTTGTAGAAGGCGGCCAAGCCCGGCGACAAGCCGGTGTTGACAGCCTGGTAGGCCCAGCCCCCTGTTTCTAGCGACATGTTGCTGCTGACGAAGTGCTGGAAAAAGGTCGCAAAGGTTCTCTGAACCAAGCTCTCCATAGTCTTCTCGTCGAGAAGAGCTTTCGGGTCTTCGTTTGCTTGTTTGTACATCGAGTATGTCATAAAGTCGAGGTTTAAACCGTTGTCCCTGTCACGGAAGTTGAATGTGTCGTCGTCTATGTTTTCCTCTATGTAACCAAAGGTTATGTCGTAGCCTCCGACCATGTTTATATCGGCAGCCTCGAGGAGTGACAGGAGGAAGAGGACGCCGTAGCTGTGCAAAAGCCAATAAATACCGTTGTCAGTACTTCCAAGCTTAATCGAAGCTTAAACAAGTTTCGAGACATCATACCTTGCAGTCACATTGTATTCCGATTTGAACACGTCGTTGACGAGTCCACTATGCAGTTCGCGGCCAACGAGGCCAGCCGACCATGCGACAGTGTCGACAATTGGTGTGTCCGTGATGTTGAATGATTTCACTTGACCAGTATTCAGATCTACTGTGATATGGCTTGTAGCTGTTTCGATAATTGGCATGCAGTTTAGAGCCTGTATCGAAGGTACCTCAGTGTATATCCAATGTTTTCTGTCGGAAAGTTCGTAGTCGCTATCGGGATGCCTCATCCGTGCCGAGTGCAACTTGCCATAAATCCATTTCGTGGTGAAATTTCTTGGCCATGGATCACTCGGGTAAGGGAAAGTCATGGGGTCAGCGGGTGACCAGTAACCCAGGGCAGCCGGACCTTTTGGTGTACCATCGGACGTTCCGTTTACACAGCATCTCGGCCGTGAAGGATTGGCGAGGAAGGACGTGTCGAAGAAGTTGTTGCTGAATGGATCATGTGCTTCTGTGCCAAGTTCGTATCCGGTCGTTGCGCCTTTTGGGACTGTGCTTTGGTTCCAGGTCGAGGAATTTGTCAAATCCCACTTTCTCATCCATGCGGAGGTATTGTCCAAGCCCTGATAAGGACTGCATTCAAGCCGGCCTCTGATAGCTGGTGTAGAGAAGGAGGCATTGGTAGAGAAGCGGAAATTATTCTCAATAGTGTCGTTGCCAATATTTTGGATTCCGTCCGAAAGTCCTGTTAAATTGAGCGGTACAAAACTCCAGCCATCTAAGCTCCAGGGAGGCTGTGATCCGTTGAGGGACAATTGGATCGTAGCACTATATAACCAATTTGTAGTTGGGTTCGTGAACACCTGGGCTAGTATTTCTGCAGTATGTGTGGGACCGGCGTATGTTTCAGAGTCGACCATTGATTCCATTGCAGTGGTGGTATAAAGAAATGGAAGTTGCCGTAACCCAAAGCTCCTGTTTATCGTTGCAGAATGGACCAGGTGGTTCTGTTCAAGCTGGAACAGTGTGGACATGGAGATTGTTAGAAGTGGGCAAAGCGAGGTCCCCAACGTAACTAGTGCGAGAAGCCAGTGCTTATTGAAAGCTGCTTTGAAAACTGCCCAGAGCCAATATGAAGATTGGTAGGTTAAGCCAGCTCCTTGGGAAATAGGTTTCGGTCCTTGGGCCATAGAAAGATAAGGCTGCAAACGACGGGAAACTGCATCTATAGCACCCCACCATAGACCAACCGCAACAGCCAGTAGGGTCGATGCAATAGAGAAATATGATGCAGCTGGGATGGTCCTGTTGATGATTGGGACGCGTGACTCGTGAACAAAAGCAGTGTTATAAAGAAGAGACCGTTCTGCAAAGCTTTGCAATACAATGACTGCTGTTGTAATAGCAAGGAGGAACAGGAGCAATGCCGCTACAGTCCATGCTCTAAGAACTGTAGGCCTCCATTTGGATTTGGAAGGGGAGTTTAAACGCGACGAATCTAGATATTACATATTAGTGTATGTTTATATTAGGCAGTGAGAAGCTTACCGGGCGTGGTTGATTTGGTAGAATCTTCATATAATCCGCTTGGAAGAGTAAAGTGTTGTTTTCCCAGTAATTTCTGACTTATCTCGGCATGAGAGGATTGATCAAGGTCACGTAGACCTAGCCGTATATCCGTCTCCTGCGCAACCAGTGATGACGTGCCTATCACTGTTGCAGGATCTAGCCGCAGGTTTAGAGGCCTGAACCGGACACCCGCCAATTTCCATAAGAATAGCGACAAACAGAAAGAGAGAAACAGAAGTGTCGCTAATGCAATAGCAATTCCCTTTGTCACAGTGATTCTTTTCTCGATCATCGTAATGTGACCTGTAAAATTTTCTTCATCCGACGCGTCCTTTTGGCCAAGAGATGATTGCAACACTTCGCCCAAAAATCGTTGTTTTATTCGAGCAGCTTCAGCGGCGATGTTGCTGTCGGATACCATGGCCGTCATGTTGAAGTCGTATACAGCTGCAAGCAAAAAAGAAAGCCCCTGGGCGTAAGGACGAGAGTTGTGAGAAGGCCCTTGGACGTAAATCTTCCAGTCGTCATTTAGAGTTAAGTTTCGTAGGTCATGAGTATTTAGAAGGCTATCTGGTAGTGGTACCCGTTTAGTTCGAAATTCGTCCTTGTCGAAACTGGTTTTGGTTTCTTCCCCTGATGTTGAAGATGCAGTGACTTCCATGTTCGCCATGTAGTACTCTGTTTCGCACACTTCCGCCGAGATATTAACGTCAGGTAAAAATGTGGTATTTGGTCCATTTTCCAGAGAAACGCCTTCGGTAATCCAGCGCGGATCAATCCAGGGCGTGGTCGTGAAAATAAGTTCTTTTTCTCCGCATTCTGCCGAGTGATTCATACATATTGAACTCTCCACTGTGGAACAGAAGGAGTTTTCGCCCCACTGAATTGGCAAGTAAGCCGTTGGAAAGCTAAACCATGTAGTGCCTCCAATGATTAGCTCCATATCTGTCGTCAGACCCAGGCCATAAGTGCAGTCGTTATCTGTTGCCAGCTTGACTGTTGCAAAACTTCTCGAGACTTCTGTGTCATAGGTGGTGCTTAGAGTAGGATATGTAATCCAGGACATGTTCTTGTCGTAAAGGGACATACGTTCGCAGTTCAGTTCGGTACTCAGCACAAGTGTCTCGGCGTGCCAAGTCTGAGGTGAAGCGGATAGTGAAGGACCCAATGGGCTGCTTTGAATTTCCGAAGGCCAGAAGGGAAGCAGTGTGTAGTTATCCGTTACCCAAGCCGAGGTAGAGGTGTTTTGTAAGATGTGACCGATCGTTCGTAGGTAAGTATCTCTCCCTGTATGGATAGGGATCGGAGTATCTTTCTTGGGCACCATGCGGGTGAACTCGTGTTCTTTCGTAACAGCCATAGTTTTCGACTCCAGTAACGAAGAAGTCAGAGGGGAGATTGTTAGGAAGCTAAGGATATTAATGCACGCACTACACACCATCACCCAGCCCTTGGAGCCGGAGGCACCGTTTTTCTTCTTCGACAAGCCGTCAGATAGTGCGTTCCACCAAGCACCAGGTGCTTGTAGTATCCCTGATGATGCAGTTGAACCTCCTGGTCCCGCCAGTCGTGCGTATGGCTCGGTTCTCTTTACGTCATTGAGAAGCATAGCCGTTAGTTGTGTATATAGGACAGCAAGTACGGACGGCAAGAATCGCCATATAAAAAAGAGGGTGGAAGAGCCGTTATCGCGAGTCAACCCTTGGTGGGTGGAAGAGTACCAGTATATGAGGATGACCAGGAAGGACAGTGTAAGCATCGTAATAGATAGACTGAAAAGGAAAGGCCACCGGAGTGTATATGGGATCCATGTAGGGGTATAGTGGCGGTCAAAGCCCAGTGGTGTTTTTTGAGTGTTCGAATTAATGTCTAAGAGTGTAAGCTTCTTAAGAACAGAAGAATCGGTCAATTGACTTACCAGAAGTACTGTCTTCGATGTTTCTTGCACCAGTGCCCAAGTTGCCGCGGGATTCACTGCGGTCGCTGTGGTTTCCAACACTGATACTGCACACCGATTCAAACCCGGAAGATTCTTCTGGTCCAGATCTTTGGCTAGAGTTTCCAGTAGAATGATTTCCAAGAAGCAGTGCTTGCTGCTCGCCTGTTGCATGGTGCTCGGTTGATTGGTCGCGGATGCTTCGCGATCTAGCATCGCTGTTAATCACAGCGCCAGGGCTTGAAAAATGCCACGGCTCATTAGAAAACACGGAAGGGATTTCTTCAAGACTTTCTGTCGATAACAAATCGGAAGGACAACAAAGTTGTGGTATTTGTTGACGACTGGCTGCATAATGCTCAGACGATCGCCGAGAAGCCATGCTGAGTGGACAAAACTCAAAACCGATGGAAAATTGGGATAGGCTACATCAGTAAGAGGGACACAATATATTAATCTCCAGAGCAAGGTAAAGATTCAGCTATTGACCACGTGATCGCTAGGCTGAAGCATAGAAATAGAAATAGACATTCTGGTCGGTAGCACGACTTTGTGGCTTAGTCTGCATGCAAGGCTGATCTCCAACGTATCAGCGTACCACAACATGGCACAATTCCCTGTTAGACCCATTAAAACCATCTACTTGGAAAAACTGTTTTTAGTATATTCTTGTTGTCAAAAAAGAATTCACCACTTATGGTGGTGGTTCTTTATTTTTGGAAAACACCGCAAGGCTCTGGCCTTAGGCTATTGCTAAATTAGGAAGGCACCTACGTTGCACATCAACCCTCATTGCGGCCGAGTCGATAGTCCAGCCGTCGGGTACTTTAGTGATTTGTGTCTAGGAGGTGTTAGGATTGGGTTATATAGTTTTATGGTGAGATAAGAGTTTACCTTAGCTTGTTGTTGTTGTTGTTGTTGTTGTTGTTGCTGTTGTTACTGCTACTGAAAGCCTAACGCGGTGTAAGGTTTTCTTGTTTATATTATCGCGTACTGCTGTGGTTCCAGTTGCTGAATGAAGTGACGAAGGTGTTCTGAGAACGAAATAATAAGGAGGCTATAATAAGGCTATAAGAAGAAGCAATAGCGCATCGGCCCCTCTCATGTATAACGTCACCTAGTAACAAAAGCTAGCAGATCCGCTAGCAAGTGTTCTTTTAGCTCGCGTTGCAAGGAAGCCTTCAGCCCGTAATTAACTAAGAGTAAGAGATGCTAACTGTAAGCCTTAAACATCAGCGATTAACGGCAGGGCCGCGCCCTGCTACAACCGCAGTGCTTTTCTTCTAGAGCCAGCTCCAAAACTAAGTATTTAAGATATTAAGGTGTCAGCCAGGATCACTCCGATAACTCTCGTTTTTTCAGCCTTATTACAGTCAGTTGTTACACTACAGCCTTACCCCTTACACCACACGTTTATCCACTGCAAGGGAATAAGGATCTTAAAGAGAAAACGTGTTCTTTTAGATAGCAGCATATATACCTCCATGGGTAGTAGTAATTTAGGAGGACAAGCGGCGTCCAATTCCTCGCGCCCAGCTTCACATAAGGTTTTATATTATACCTAATGGTGTCGCTCTCTCTTACCTTCTCTTTCGTCTCTCGTCTCTCTCTCACGCCTTCTCTTTAACTATTTTACCTCCGCTCTAACCGCAATACGTATCGTAGGCTATACGTCTTCTACATACCACACTTACCCGTCTATACTAGCGTATACTAGGTATACCCACGCAACCTATAACAGCAGCAGCAGCAGTAGCGCCAACAACAATTCCACGAACAAATTGGTTAAGGGACCACGTGGAGAGCTCTTGTCGTCTTAAACACTTGATTTCCTACCCCTCAGCGGAGGGCCAGCCAACACCAGCTAGGGCAGGAGCGGTAGCGAGAGACAGAAAGAGAGCGTAGAAAACATATACAGCTACTGATATAGTTTTCTCGTATTCTTTTTTCTTTCCTAACCTGTCCCCCCTCCAGTAGAGGGGGGTAAAATAGCTAAAGCTCGAAAAAACGTACGTAGAAATATAGCTTATCCCGGGCCAACACAATTATCGTAAATATAAACTTCCCACACACGATTTTTCGCCCTTCGACTTTGAACCAACACGGATGGATGCGCATGCACGAGAGCACACAGAGAGCAGAGATCGGTTCGTTCGGAAAAGTTGGCGCAGAGGGCGGGGTTGGCGTTGTTTGGCGCAGTGGGGAGTCGAAAGTGGTCGTGGTTGATGACATGGCGCGCGGGCAACATTCGGTGCGGTGAGTCAGCTACGGTGTAAGCAGGCTGTCGGGAGAAGTGTGTGTGAGCTGCCAATTCGTGTACGGTCGTTATCGAAAAATGTCGCTCGGGTATCGAAGATGGTGTTGTTGCTCGGGCTGTCGAAAAAAATGTGCTGCACGGTCGAAAAGCGCGTCGGGGTTGGTGTAATTTTGTCGGTCTGCTGCTTTGGGGTTCGGCGCTTTGGGGTATAAAACATATGTCGTGGGTTGCTGCATTGGGAAAAAGGACAAGCGGCGGCTGTCACTCATGCTTCATCACATCGACCATCACCATCACCATGGATGCGCTCACTGGGGCGGGCCGACGTAGTTGCGGTGCCCCCATGCAATGTACCAGCCAAGCGAGAGCAGCACAAAAGCGACGAACACAGCAGCGGCGTAGTTCATGGACTCCGGGTCCACGGGGATCGTCGTCGGCATGCAGAAAAGCGGAATCGCGAGCAGCGACCAGCCTGCGGGACAGTCAGCACACAGGAGCGAGGGGGCTCTAGCGCAAAATACTTACACAGCGCAACAACGTTGCAAAAAACGCCAAGTTTGCCGAGGCGGAACTTGCCTGCACTGACCTCGTGGCGGCCTCTTGCCAAGCTTACGGCGATGGGGCACGCATACGAGGCGGTAAGGCAGATGACACCAACGCCCGAGAAGGCACTGTAAGCGGCATACGAGCCGAAGTAGATGAGTCCAAGCGCGATCTGCACCACCATCGACAGCATCATGGCGTTGAAGGGCACGTCCATCTTCCGGTTAACAACCTTCCACCACTTGGAGCCGGGAATCGCACCGTCGCGAGCAAAGGCCCACGTGCATCGCGAAGCTGCCGTGGTGCAGCCAATACCGCAAAGGAGGGCCAGCGCGATCAAAGGGATGAGCAAGGCGAATGCACCTCCCGAGTGACCGACAGCTCGCAGAACAATCACCGGGACGGGCTGAGCGGATGAGGCAAGCTCCGTAAGGTCGGGCAGGACGAAGACGAGGGGAATGAGCATGGCAAGACCGGCGAAGAGGTTGATAACGATCGTGGCAACCATGGCCTTGGGAACCTGCGTGGCGGGAGCCTGGACTTCTTCACACATACTTCGAAAGTTAGTATTCGGCGGTCGACAAAAGAAAGATTGTCGGCTTACGAAATGATCATGCCGGTCGAGGAGGTTCCGTAGGCTGCTTGAAGCAGACCGATACAGAAAGACCATCCCTTGGGCCAACCGGAAATCGGCTCGAAATCGGTAAAGACGTACTCGGCGGTATGGCGACCACCCTTGGCGCGAACGAGAATGACCACGTCCAAGGCAATGACACCGAAAATGGTCCAGTAGATGGCCGAAGTCTAGATAAGGTCAGCGCTAGGTTGTGGAACGTCACTCAAGCGAGGCTCATACATCAAGGGTCGTCAGCCATTTGTTTCCCAGCGACGACACAGCGTTGCACAGGAGCGTGATGGCCAGGAAGATGAGGAAAACCTGCCAGGCATTGCCCTCAAAAATGTCGTTGCCATCCTTGTCCTTGAAGACGTTGATACAGCCGATCAAGAAAAGTGCGGATCCAAAGTTGACGGCCAAAGTGATGGTGATGTTCCCGACGACGTACAGCCATCCACACACCCAACTCGAGAGACGGCGCCACTTGACAGGCGAAAGCATGAATGTCTGGTAGTAAACGCCTGTTATGGTCAGCAATTGCTCTCTACGCTGTAGAGAATGAGAGCATACCGCCAGCGGTCGGATAGACACTCGTGATTTCTCCTAATGAGGCGGCAACGCAAAGGACGATTAACGAGACGCCAACCCAGCCCCAGATGATATTGGCGGCACCACCGCTGGTGACGGGATAGGTAAAAGTGGTGGAGAGACCGTAGGGAATTGAGGCCAGAACGAAGGACATGAAGGCGACTTGCAGGGTGGAGCGGCTACGGATCAGCTCGGGCGTGTATCCAAGAGACTCGAGAAGATGGTCCGCGGAGCCGATTTCCTCGCCGCCTGTCTCGGCGGCGAACATGTTGTCGACGCCTTTTCCGGTAAGGCTGACCTTGTCGGCCTTGTCTGCCTTGGACGGGTCCGCTAATGCGGAATGATTAACTTGAGCCATGGCGGGAGACAATTGAGAGAAGAGTAAGAGAGAGAGAAAGAGACGGTTGGAGGGACGACACGAGAGCAGAGGCGAGAGACATTGGGAGACCTTAAGGCATGAGAGCGGCGACGCTAGCGGGGCGTGGGTGAAATTGGTGGAGCGGCCGAGAGCCGAAAACGATTTTTTAGCTCGATCCACCGTCGACGTCACCTGCTGGTCAGCCCTGCGTTGTGCGCCACGTGCGCCATATTCCCCGCCACACATCGACTGCCCGGGCCACGTCTTTTGCCGCCATCGCCCGCCTTATTCACAAGTCGTTGCCGCTTGGTTGGTCCTGGTTGGTTGTGGGTGCTGCGTGGTTCCTGGTTCCTGGCTTCGGATTCCGCCTTTGAACTTTGAACCTGCTGCCCGCACCGCCCATGCGGGTCCTCATCATCACCACCACCACCTCTTTCCACGAATCCATCACCATCGCGATCTACTGCAGGGGCCGCGCGGTCGTCGACGAAATTTTGTACAAAATAGCGGTGGAGTTTGTCCTGCATCGGTGGGCCCTAATGAAGAGCGACACAAAAACGGGCAGCAACGTCTTGGGATCGGGTTTGCCGTCGTCAATCAATCGCTGGTGTTCCAGATGCCGCTGCGAGCTGCTGCGACTTTCCCTACGCGTACTAGTCTCCGGGCTTCAGTAGGCGAACCTGTCAGCAGTCCGAGATTCTCGCAATGCCTGTATGGGTTATTGATTATCCCGCTGGGAGCCGTGTCGTTGGGTTCTGGAAGCCCACCACCACCGTCAACAACGTACGAGTACGAGAGCACAACTTGCAGAATTGCGGCAAGCGGCGGCGCCGGGTAACCTCCCTTTCCGAGTTATTGAGAGAGGGTTGCTGTGAGTGGGTGCTGCGGCGCATGCTCTTTTTTTGTGGCAACCATACATCCTACTCCACAGCGGCCCCATTCCCCTTCGGCTGTGCCAACACCGCACCCAACACCCTGCTCCGAATTTCGAAACGTGACGGATGATGTACGCTCCGCCAGTGGGTTTCGAATTGGACCCGGGCCCTATTATTCACGCCTCCGGGGCTATTCGGATCGGTGAGGGAACGTTACATGGGCCTTCGTTGCAATTAAACGGCCCGAACATCCCAAAATGGCCTCGATGCGAACATGAAAAGGAGATGACAACGACGACTCTACCAGGGTCGTATCCGATACTTTGACAACGCGTTTGCCGCCATTTTATGTCCTGGCCGTGTCCGCAGGCCGTGTCAACACCTTCTCCGCTCTCCGCTCTCTCTCTCCACAGTCCTTGCGCTCGAGAGAAATGGATTGTCCGTGTCCTGGCGTCGAGTTTGTCGCTCCTGCGTTTCATTGTCCTCTTGGGCCTTTCCTATCCGCATCCCGTGATTCGTCTCAAAACACCCTATACCTGCTTTAAAACGGCTCGCCGCTTACGTCGTTGCCACAGTCTCGTTCGTGTGCGCGCATTGTCACCTGTTAACCCTGGTAGGCGGAGAAGGCTAGCGAGTCGCTCGTACGTTATAGCGTGCAACACAGACGGGGTCCAAGTCATAGCGCTGTGCCGCCTAATGTGAACGCACCACCGCTTTCTTGTAGGATTTGATACCTGTACCTTGCTCCTGCTAGTGAGTGCTGCCGCCTGAATCTTCCAGCTCGAAGAGCTCTCGCTGCCACTTACCACTTTTTATCCTTTTTCCCATCGAACGGAGCATCACGAGATCGACCTTGACAACGACATGAGATCTGTAGAAGGCCATCTTTTCAAACGCTGCGGCTTCCAGCTTCTTACTTTCGAACGCGACCGCGGACCCTCCGGTGTGGCTGACCAGGAACCCGGCTTCTGGCATGGCGTGATAAACGTATCCCAGTCAAAGCTCTTTAAACCTCTGCAACGAATACAGGGAGCATCCCGGTGAAAACTTTAAGGTTTCGCTGGTTGACGGATATTGTTTGATCCTTTTCTTGACCGTCATCGGGTTGAGATTTGGTATCCGTCTTCTTCCACGGATTCTGGAACGTTTTGACTTTGGCCTTCTTGTCACGGACTTGAGGTTGGTACGTTTCCTTGGGCGTAATGCCGTCTCCGACTGGAAGGGCTTGTATTCGAGTGGTTTCGCTGCTCGCTCGAGTTCCGCAATGATGTTCCTTGTTCGTTCTGGAAGGCGTCGAGGTACTCTTGACTGTCTCGCACGCGAAGAATGGCCAAGTTCTCTATGATGCCGTCTGGGTTTGAGTATACCTTGTGTACTCGTACTGATACTCCGAAGCTATCACGTTCCAAATCTCCAAGGGCCTTGTGGGTTGCATCGAAGTTTCCAGCGATTTTTTGTCTTTGCATCCGTTCACGGACGGCGTTTTCACGAACCTATCCAACGGAGCTCTGAAGGCCGGCCTCACTGGAAAATCCATGTGTGACAACACGGACAGCTGTATCCACGCTTTCCGGCAACCATACTTCCTGACGTCGGTTAGATCAAGATTTTTATGCCGAGGTTCATATAGACGGTCTACTGTAAACAATTCGGTTATTGCAGCAGTCCGATAGCTCGTCAAGCAGGATTTTGTCTAGACGAGCTCATTCCTTGGAGGAGCTTGTGGCGAGATGTTCGTCGAAGAATCTCAAACAACACGGCGTAGTCGAAGAAGGTCTGCATATCAGGTGGCCTTTGGAGCTAAAGCAAACCAGTCCAGCGGGTATGTTAAAAATCCATTGTAACTAGAAGGCTGTGGCTTGCGCGTTAGGAAATGTGGCCTGGTAAGTTTTGTTCGAAATTCCATAGATGGTAAAAGCCAAGTCGCTGGAGAATTAAGGCTGGTAAATGCTTTGACCGAGAACCTCACGCGCTAGAAGTAACAGCGCTGGAGCTCCGAGCCGCCGTTGTACTCTCGAGGTGGAGGTTCCCTACTGTAAATGTTGTCTCTGTACTGATACTGGTAACTGTCAGATCTTAGCATTCTCGAATTCGGTGCACAGGCTCCCAGAACCAAACGATACGGACGGACTAGTCGCGTAATCCTCGCAGAAAGGCCTCGTTTAGGTTCGTCTGTTGGGTAAGATCCACGGGTGCATTCTGACGAGCCAACTGTAGGTAGCGGCTCATGTAAGAGGGCTCGCTCGGTCTGGAGAGCCACAGTCATCGGTTGCAGCATCATTCCGGCCTTGGTTCAGAAAACTAAAGTTTCAATATTAGACCTCGGAGGACTGGAGAATGGTCTGTTCATCAGCTGTGCGGTGCGACCAGTACGCGACGTCCCCGCTCTTTGTGAAACCCGTCCGTGTCGGTTCCATCTTCGCCGCTGATCCGGTAACGTCCCTCACCCATACCAAAACCTCACCATTGAAAAAAGCCGGCCAATCATAGTGTGAGCATGTTGCACGGCCCAGGCCTCGGCTGGACATTTATAGTAGGGCACTGATTGGCCGGCTTCGCTCAATGGTGTTCTTCGGATATGGGTGAGGGACGTTAGAGCGCTCTGTCTGAGCGCCCGTCAATATGTGTTTCGACCACTTTACGAAGGAACCGTAAAATGCAACCTTGTGTCTCGAAGACTAGTCGTGCTCGAAAAATTCAGGTATGCCTGATCTGTGCATGCGTTCGGGTATCCATGGACCATCCGCCGTATTGCATGCCTGTTGCCATGCATCACAACGCAACTGTCGCAGAAATCGCAGTTGTAGACGCAAACAGCCCATCCGAGCATTAGTTCTTTGTTGTCAAATGGTGCCTAATCTTCCGGGATGAAGTTCGTCCTGTTATGGAGCAGGCCTGGGGAAAATGCCGGGTCCGTTTTGAGTAGGTCGATGCTGAGGTATGACAACAAGTTGCTTTTCCGATGATGCTTTTGAGCATCCGTTTTTGTACCATCTGCGTTTTAAAAGCGCGGGATAGGCCGTTGTTGTTTGGGAAGGTTCGGCTCGGCCTGCAGTAGGATGCTTTCTCGCTTGTCCCTGCTTCTCTTTCGCCACCGGCTTATAATTTTGTCCCCATGTGTTTCGTAATGTTCTTGCAAGAATATACGGTCCTTCCGTCTTTATGTTAGGCGACACTGCAAAGCCGCTTTAGCCTGGGCCTGGGAGACTCTTTTGTTACAGCTGAAACGATGCATGCCTTGCTCTTCTCTGGCGAAGATGCTGTGTTGACAGACGGGGCATTCGTAAGGAGGAGGGGCAAAACGGAGGTTCGCGGATAGCTGACGGTCTAAAAGTATAAGCAAGTGCTGCAGCGACGTGTTGGTTAAGTTGCAGCGTTGCTGCTAGGCGTGAAGTGCGGTTGCGATGGAAATACTGAGAGGGGTTGTGTGCCAAACCTGGGGAATTATCATCCACACAACAGTGGGCAATCGCTAGGCCTGTTGTGGTTAGTTTCGGGTAGTCCCTCGTCATCCACTGTTTCGCGGCTATGTTAGCCTTATCGTGTCGTCTAAACTTGCTCTATGGTTTTGGCAATACCTTCTCAGGCCCATATCGCCTGCTGCTTATTTTCTGCTCTTTACACTGTTCGTTCAGCGGCCCGCTCCGGACACTGGACTTGGCGGTTATGTTTTCCCTTATATTGAATAACTTCGTACGACGGATTGACCCTGCAATCTCTTCGTATATCGTCGACCACTATCTTGCAGTTGTAAGATGCATTTCTTTCCATGTAGAAGGAAATGAGTATACTATTTGAAGTTTTCTCCCAGATGAATATGGGGATTTCCTAAGCAACAAAAGCCTGTGACACTAACAAGAGATCGCGATTCAAACGCAAAAATGTTGTTACAGCATATTAGAACCAATGTGAATTTTGTATTTGTAGCTCTGAACTCTTTGCAGAAAGTGGTATCTGAGAAAAAGCATATCGAAAGGTCGTTACAAATGTATGAAATAAAATGACAAACCAGCTTCGTGCAAAGCATGATTCGAGGGGGTATGAAGAGATTAGTTTTGTAAGGTCCGTCATTTGCATTTCTAAATCAGCTCATCGACAAAAGTCGGCTTGCAAGAAGAAGCCCTGCAAAAAACGTGGTCGTAAACAAAGGAAATAAAAGTCCGCCTAGGTAGAGCGACGAATCTCGTCCGGGTGGTGGAGCGGCACTTCGTCTGAATCGTTGTCGAGCTGCTTTTGGTAGGAGAACATGCTTTCGTTCTGGCTGCCGGTGCTAGCACTCGACACCTTGACGGTGTACTCGCGTTTCTGGACAATCTGGCCCATGTCCTCGAGTGCGTGGCTGTCGACGTCGTTGTGGTCGGCCATGACGTGCGTCGAGTTCGCGTGGTTGTCGCCCACGCCGGCGAAGCGGCGTTCTCCTCGGCTTCGAGTATTCGAGGAGCTGTTGCCCATGTGCAGGTCGCGGACGGATTCTTGCGAGATGCGCTTGATAAGGTTCGTCATGGATAGTTCGATCTTGAGCTTGACCGTGTATGCGACTGGGTGGAATTGGATGAACACGGCACCGTTTTTCAGGAACATGGTGCCGATGATAAGACCCTATGATCCCTAGTTAGAAAACTGCATGATACAGCAGGAACTGTGTCAATCTTACGTCCATAGCCACCGAAATAAGGGCAATCTTGGTGTTGAAGTCCACAAGCGCGTTGTATTTTTGCAATCCGTTGGCTACCAGCCTCTTTTTCACTTGCATAATGAAGTAGTAGTTCAGGCAAGCATCGTTGAGACCGATAATGACTTTGGTGATCTTGATATATGTCAGTTTAAGATGTTTCGGTTTGATTAAGCATCTCTCTTACCTTATCCCACACCTCGTTAAGCTCAACGAACGGCTTGATATCCAGATGTCCCGGAATGAATATACAGAAGACCGAGATGTTGACGCAGGTAATGAGGCCGATCGTAATCCACCGAATCATGTTCAGTCTATTTCTGTCGGTTGTGACGATGGCGATACGGTTGATGATGATTTGAAGGATAAACTGAATTTGGACCACCCATAGACAGACTAGTCAAGATGTTAAAACATGTTGTAAGATGGAGCTTGGTCTCTCCTTACGAATTCCTATAAATGTTCCCAATCTAACAACACCTGTCAGTTACATTCATAGAGCGAGGTAGCAAATAACTTACAAATTTGTCAAGACCCCTTCAATAAACAGCCATATGACAACGGCCATGACAAGGTTTACAGCGAGTTCACTCCACACCATCCAAACGAACAGACTCCTCCGAGGGTCGCGCATAACCGAAGTGATCTTCCATGCGTCCCAGGTTGTCAAGAAGCCGAAGCCAAGAGTAAAGCCAAGCGCTATACAGGAGACCTTGAGGTCGGTTGGTGAAGACTCCATGACGGCAGTTTGCACAGTTGGAGTGGACAAAAGAGTGTCGTGGAGGGCGGGGAGGTAAAAAGAGCGAGACTCACGCAACACAGCGCTCAAGGCACGTCGCAGACAGGCATCCAATACCTTTAAAGCCCCCCGCAACACACACAGCAAGCCCTTTTCCGGCTTGTGCTCGGGGAAATCATGTATCGGATCCGAATAAGGTTACCGGCATTAATGCATGTGGACCGTAAACCCGTAGCTCGTGCACTGCGACCGATCTTTTAAGTGTTATGGCAGACGCCCGGGGCGTACCGTACTCGACCCAGGATAACATTGCCCACGCCGAACACCAATAGGGTCCTCCGTAATGGCCTGAAAATTCTGGGGCAAGGGAGCAGATCATCCGTTAATTCCCCGGCGTAGGACCTTAACAATAGTGGTGACCCTTAGGGGAGAACAGGTTTGCCCCATGCCTCTTCTGATATGGTGACATGACAGGACATGACAAGGCCCCCCCAATATTGCGGAGGAAAGGGACCTTTGGACCATTGCTGCGAACATCGGAGCCGCTAACACTGTCATGCTGAGACAAGGGTGAAATTGTTCTTGCTATGAAGGATTCAAGTGTGCGACATGATACACAAGGCGATGGCGACCTTTGATGATTCGGCAGTGCCCGTGACGAAAGTCGGGCGTACGAGGTAATGCTAGACGAGAGAGCGTAAAAGTTGATTCGGATTGAGGCGGGACCAGCACCGATTGGGGCTCGACCACTCTAGTGTCCCCACTTAGCCTTGCGGCTCCAAGTCACGGCCGAAAGGCCAGTCCCTTAGAAATCGGCCAGCCACCAAGTGCGCCGGGGAGGTGGAATCTGGAGCCCGCAATCTAGCCCAAACCTGATGGACGCGCATTGTGGCAACAATTTCTTGCCGAGGTCGCAACAGCAATGAAAAGCTTGGTAAGTGGGCGATGTTTGCTGCGGGCCTTGCCAAGGATAAGGCATTCGAATTGAGATGTCGAGGGCTGTGTTGGGCTGTGAAGACTAGCCACAGATGAGGATATTGGCTTCTCGCTTAGCTGCCTGTGGCGTCACAGCCACAGCACAATCCTGGCTGTCGATTCCCGGAAAGTCAAAATAACCATGACCACACTGCATCGTCGATTTCTTCTCCAATTTCAAAGACTTGAGAGAGAGCCGAGAGAGATTGTCGTCGTCGTCGTCGTCGTCGTCGTCGCCGGCTTGCTGCTGGCTCCACTTGGCGCCGATTCTGCAAGATGGAAAATCATTCACCTTTTCAGTCCAATACCTAGGCCGATCATCGTCTGATCGCCTCGGGCACAGCCGAAACGACAGGCCAGGCTAACCCGGTCGGACGGAGGTAATAGGGCCAGCTGTTCTCCCTTTACCCTTTGCCACGAGGGTTCCACGATCCTTCTCAAGCCCTTCTGAAATCCTACCATCAACGGGCGCCGATGACGGGTGTGCTCCAGCCACCAGTTGCGCCTGCATGCAGGTCCAGACGTTTCGCCGCAATCCTTCAACAGGACAAGATGATTGTCGATCATCTGGAGTAACTACTCATCCCCATTTCGTACTTCCTTGACTCTCGGCGCATATCATAGCCGCATTCAGATGCCGTTACAGAGGGCAGGGTCACCCCTTGTCGACTTAAAAAGTTACGAAGCCTCACTTGAATCACGCGCACTGCCTAACCGCGATCGGAATGTGCTGGAGTGCAGTGTCCGCAGACGCCTCTTTCTCCCACGGAGCTGAGAAACGAATTCGTCAATATGCGCCGGAACCCCTTGGATAGTGTACAGGTTTTGAGCATGGTGTGTTGGTGCGCTAGCTACAACAGGATACAGTGGCTGGACCTTCAGTGGGGTTCATTCTATCGCAGAGTAGCGTTGTCAGGCAGCAATGCCCCTTGGCGCCTTTGTTACGGGTATTACATCCTTCCGAGCAGTCGTTGGTAAAGCCGACGCTTCCGTAGCCAGGAAGCAGCGTGGCAGCCAACGCTAGCGGAACCTCCTACTCCTACTTCCCGCCGCCGGCGCCGCCGGCTTCACTGCGCCAGTCAACTTACTACTACGTACGTACGAGTACAGTGCCGCCGAACCCCATCCCCCGCCGTTGTCACTGCATCTGGTCAGTGTTGTAATCATTATCTTCGGCTTACTGATGAACGGTAGACCCGAGCTTCGAATCCTTCGAGCGTAACGTCGGGGTTGTGGGGACCAATGCGGAAATTGCACCACCACCTCCTTCTCAGACGACATCTCACGTCTTGTGATGAAGATTGATGCAGAAGGATACACCAGAGTGACTCAAGCGTGCCACAATACTCAACCAGACACCTTTGCCTATGCCTTATCTGAGGCTGAATCGTAGGGGGAAAGAGGGGAAATATAATCACCAGCATCACGCCAAGGCCCTACACCCGGCTGCCCGGTCGTTGTTTGCCTAGCAGCAAAACAAAGTTGCAGACAAGGTTAAGTTCCTCGCCCGGTGCCGCCCGACGCCGCAGCCGCACAGTGTCCGGCTCTCTGGGCCCAGTAGCCAAAGTTTGTTGCTTTGATATGCCAATACGATGTTTCCTTTACGGGGTACATTCCACGAAAGACGGCATGAGGCTCGCACCGGCCATCACCACCACCTACTTAGCATGCCAAGAAGTGGTGTCATTCCACTTCACTCCATCCGTGCGTGCACCTACTTTTGCGTTTGAAATCTCACAATGTCTGTCAATGCCCCTGCGTAAGTCTGGACTTGCGCCTACCGTTACTGCAGCACAGTCTGTGTTTGTCTGGCCGATCACCCGCATATCTCACGTTATGTCGACGCCTCACAAGCACAACCCTCCACACAGTCCCATGAACCCGGGTCAGTCAACTGCAAGAGGCGCCCAAGGCATCCACTGTCTAAGCAGTCCAGGGATTACCGCACCATCGGGACGATCCCCCACGGACGTCACCGCGCGTCGATCCCGCTGTGCTGTGCCGCAGACCAACACATCACCCGCAATGATGCAATGCAAGGCTTCTGTCGATCGGTCAAGGACCCGGTCACCCGGCCACCACCTTGTGTCGATCCCCGCGCGGATATCATCAAGCGTGCATCTGTGCCGCCCATGCGCATCGCGATCGAGTTGCCAATTGCCGGAGTTGCACCTTGTCGGACTCGTACGTTCGGGATCTTCGCTTTGCCCCCACTTATGTATTGGGGTTGTCGAGATTTTTTGGCCCGACGTGCCGGAGTGCGGAGGTCCGAGTGCGTTTACTGATACATAAGCTTCCGGCCGACAGATGCTTCTTTTACGGGTGTGCAAGCGCTTTTCATACCCCCAAGTCACTTCCTTAGGCTCCATCCAGTGTCCCCTTCCACATCTATTTAGTCTCCTGCCCACATCTTATTACCGCTTCTCTTCAGAACCCTCCCTTCCCTCCCTTCTCACTCACACTAACCCATAGCCACATCTAACCCGTGCATATTCTAAACCATGCCACACCATACTATCTAAGCTTACTCACCTATACACTTCGAACGGCACGATAGCAGGGGCATGCTTAGGAATTGCTCTCCGAATATCTACGTAACAAGCTGATCAGCGAGAATTCTCGAAAATTCGAGCACATGCCTCGCAAGCGTCACAACAATGAGCATACGTAGATATTCTAGCCGAGTATTGGTGTTGCGCGGCGATTTATGACACTGAGATGGGGAATAAAGGAAAAGAAAAAACATGATATCTTATGCAACGGTGCGAGCCGGCAGTGGCAGTCTTACATAGCCGCCACACAACCGCCACCCGGTGCGTTTAGGCACAACCCGCATAAACCCAGTCCAGCCATCCTTGCTACGCTCCGGCAACAACAAAAATCCAAAGAAACAGACTGACCATTTTTTGTCTCTTATTAGTAGAGCTTCTCACGTGCATATTCCTCTTCGTTAAGATAACGAAGCCTGCCAATCTACATACAAGTGAAACATTTGAATAGTGGCTGATATTATTTGGTCTGCATAACATTCTATCTAATGCCTAGTAGGGCTTTTTGGTGACAGTTTAGTAAGGATGCATGGCTTCCGATGGGCCGAAGTCCGAAAAATCAGCAGCCATAAAGCTTCGGACCATATTCTGCGACCGCTTTGTTACACCCTGGTAGCCCTGTCCAACATGTCTCATGTTATGGCGCTCCAGATTAAGCAATATGCTGACGGAAGCCCCCGAAGGGTGATTACCATAATTCGATATCATAAATGCCTACTCCACAGTAGTCCAAGATTGTCACTGGTTTGGAAGAAGAGCTTCAGTGCAGACTTACCTGGGGAATAGGTATTCTTTCCAACTAGATGCTGTGCAATCTACAGTGCTAGCCTGTTTATCGGTTCCCTATGAAAGCTAGGATTACGGGAAGCACTGTGAAGGTTCGTTTCCGGCATTATAACATCAACAAGTAAGGTCTACTTGACGACCCCGCAGGCATATACTTGGCGAATATATGTTTGTGATAGTTTTCCCCGCAGTACAGCTGAGAATTGAATGAAACGCATCGAATAACTCAGCGTAGAAGACCCATTTGAAACATCTTCTTCAGCTGTAACGCGAGTCTGAGTGGCTTTTGGTAACAACAGAAAGCGAGAGCATTTAAATCGAGACAAAGTGAGCGGGGAAATCAGCTGATTCCCCCATGAGAACTGCGCTTAAAAGACGAAATACTCCTTGCATTGTTTCCCTGTCTGCAGACAACAAATCTAAGTAAACCATCACAATCTTTGTTGAACATACAGCCTCTACAAACCCTACCCTCGCAACGATGCATGCAATTCAGCTCACAGTTGCCTGCATTTCTATGGCGGGATGTGTATTTGGTACCTCTACGACTCAATATTGGAGCTCAGAGACTCCTTATTGGAGAACAGAGACCCAGGATTGGAACGTAGACTCCCAGACGTATGTTATCTTCAAACACCCGATAGGTAAATATAGTACTAAGACAATTAGTCTCGTGCCTCAAGCTACGTACTGGATCAGATTCTATGTGGATGTGGGATACAGGGGAGACAGGCTCTTCCTTGAGAACCGGCAGACTGGTGTTTGCTGTGCGTCAGAGGAACCACGCGGTTTGGTATTTAATAGCTAATTGTCAGTAGACAATCTTCCTAACAACTGGAATGATCGAGCCAGCTCTATCCAAGTCTCTGATGGGCGTTCCTGTCAATACTGGAGGTGAGTAGAGCTGTCTTCTATGAAATTATTCTCGCTGACTTAGCAAGGGATGCCGGTTGCACTGGAAGTTCCTTTGGGGGGAATGACCAGGACTGGACGAGCCTGCCCCGTGGCTTCAATGACCAGATCACGTCCTGGCGCTGTTCTTGATGGCGTCGGAGCAGTGGACGTCTTGCTGTGAGACATATTTTTCAATAGGGTTTATACAGGTTGCCGCTCTAACTGGATCCGCTCTTTTACAATTGTAATTGAATGTTCATTTATGATAGTAATGGAGGCGTACTAGTTGACATTCCGTCAAGTTTAAGCGTTTCTGTGATCGATGCCATGTACTCACAGAGCATAAGATAGACTTTAATACGAGTCCAGCGTACCAGTAAGTAGAGGTTAGTCTGAGGAAGCCGGAAATTAACAAAATGAGAAAAAACAATAATAATTTGACGATTTCTTTTTACGTTTTGGGTATTATAGACAGGATAACCGATCGACAAATCCAGCTGTGTGCTAAATCCTGCATTCCAGTAAAACGGGCCAGTGCCAAACTGCCAATGGCATCGCAGCGATTAACGACAACAAAAGCATCGATCAAAGCCTCAGCTCGCTTAATCCATTCAAACTCGATTATTCCACCCACAAATTCTAAAGCTCATTCATCTTTATAGCACTCAAGCCCGTCGACCCATTCTCGTTCCTTATATACTCGACGACAGCGTCCAAGCTCGAAGGATTGGCGCATTCATACACACTACCATCTATCTGGTTCCAGATGTAGCATTTATCTCCCGAGGCCGTGAAGAGGCAAATCGCTTCTCCCATCTCACGGCGTGTCACCATCTGCGGCTTGGGATGGGTCAAGCCGTGTTCGGAGGCAATCGCGGTGCCTTCTCCGTCTGCGCCCCATGTGTAATCAAGGTGCAAATCGTTTTGGTCGCTGGTCCAGTCCCCGGGTGGGTTGGTGACTTGAGACTGGGCGGCTGTTAGTATTGAAGTTATCGGTAATGGGTGGGGATCCGATGCCTACCATGACTCGTTGCTGCTGCTGCTGCTGGAAGAGTTGAGAGTGGTTTACTCGATGCGTTACCGGTTGCCTGGGCGACGTGATGAGAAGGTGTATAGGTGAAAGGCGTACAGGTTGTGTCGTGGGAGAATGCAGCTGTTTTGGTATTTATGTACGCAGGTCAACATGCACTATTTTAGTGACCCGCAAGCCACTGCGTCATGGCCGCCGCCCTACAAAGGAGCTAGAGTAGAATCGGGCAACTGAATAGCAAAGCTAACCTACCACGACCACCAAAGTCCATCAAGGTCATGAAGCGATGTTGCGCGTACAATCCCAATGCTAGCTCTCCCTAGCCTGCCCGCCGACGACGATGGCAAGAGCTACATCATCTGGGTTATCGCCATATCCCCACTAGCAAGCCTTTGTAACGATCGACCTGCCTCCTCCGTAAGCAAACCACCCACCTCCTATCAGGCTATACCTTCTTCTGGTCCACACCCTCGCTAAAATCAGCCAAGAAGCGCCACCTCGCCAGCTCGCCCAACCCCTCCTCCCTCCACCGATCCAGCGTGTTCGGAAACAACCATTTCCCGTGCTCTGCACCCTCCCCATCACCCAAAACTCCCAACAACGACTCATCATGCGCCAGCACAACCAGCACGTCATCGCACGCATCGAACCCTATGCACCCTTGCACGCTGCGTAGACAGGCATCGTAATCAGACGGCAAGCCCGGGGCCGGGATGCAGAAGGGCGTGGTAGCCTTGCGGAGGGGGTCGGGGTCGGGGTGCAGGGGCGTGAAGAGCGTGGCTGGGCAGGAGGAGGAAGTGGGGGTAGAGCTGATGGGTAAGAGGGGGTCGGGCGAGATGGTGCGTGGGAGCGGGCGGTAGGGCGATGGACGCAGCTGCGAGGCGTGGTGCGCTATGTCCTGCGGAGAGGGTTAGTTTGGTGTTTGTGTTTGTTTGTTTGTTTGTTTGTGGGTGTGTTTGTGAGAGGGTGAAGAGAGAGAACAGAAGAGAGAAGGGAAGAGGAAGGAAATCTAAACACTCACTCCACCCATAAACACAAACGCGTCTCTCCCCCCACCGTCCCCCGCAGACCTCACCCTCACCAACCCCGCCAAATGCCCCACCGCATGCCCCGGCGTACTGAGCAGGTAAAAACTGCCGTCGCCCCAAAAATCCACCGCCTCAAACCCGCCAATCCTCAACCCCTGATCAAATACTACCTCCCTGACCGCCCGTTCAGCCCAATCCTCCTCCTTCAACACCGCACCCTCCCTCACCGGCCACCCCGGCATCATCTCCGCCCGAAACCCCGGCCCGACAACCAAGTCCGTCTCGGGCGGAAACGTCGACGGGTCGCCAACATGGTCCCAGTGGCCATGGCTCCAGATGACGGCCTGCACACTGCCTAGATCCACGCCCCCGCCCCTCAACACGTCGGCGACGTTCCCGTGCCTAGGCGGCGGCGTGACGCGCCACCCATTGCCGGGGTCCTGGATTCTGGCCACGAGCGCGGGCGCGAGGTTGTGCACGTCGGGCCGGATAGAGAGGTCGAAGACGACGCGGCGGCTGCTGGCGCAGTGCGTGATCAGGAAGGCGTACGCGGGGCCCGTGAGGCGCGTTTTTGTTGCGATGGTGGGGGTTAGGAAGTGCGTGATTGGGAGGTCTGCGCGCGCGCCGCTGGCGAGAGAGGTCAGTTGGGACTGGGATGGTTTTAGGCGACGGACGCACGTACGTGTCGATGACTGAGACGGAGGCTGTGGCGCTTGAGGGGGGGATGTGCAGCTCTGGTGCGCGGAGCGGCGGCGCCAGGTAGTATTCGTCGGGTGACATTGTTGTTGTTGTGGTCGTTCGTAAGAAGTATGTCCTTAGTAAACCAGCAATCGCAAGATCAAATGCATACTTGCGCCAGCAGTATAGAACGATAACCATTCCTAGTTATAAGTCAGTCGCGTATATCAAACACCGATATATCCACCATCTTACAAATACCCGTCTTACAAATCCCTCCCTTCCTGCAGGGTGCGACGTGAGGTGACGTGGACCCGAGGGGAGGGGCCGGTGTGGGGAAGCCGTCGGGGGCCGCTTGGATCCCGGTCGATCCCTGTCACTCAGTTACCCGATCCAGAAGGTCCTCGGGAAAGGTTGAAGAAGCTCAATTTTTTGTTTGGAAAAAAAGATCCAATGACACTATATACCCAGTGCACTGGATAACGGTAAAGAATAGACCAACTGTCTCCTCCTAACGATACACCACTTCTTTTTGTGGCTCCTCCAATCCGACTAGTACAGTAGGTATAACAACAATCTGCCCGTGACGGCTTTTAAGGGTATGAGTTCCGTCATCGATCCTTTCCCATATCAACATTGCACACCATCCGTCGTGTGCGCAGCACTGTCGACATCCCAAACGCCGCAAAAAAAAAACAAAAAAA